GGCTGGGCAAATAAAATTTGGTTGATCACACCCATCTTAAAAACGAAATTTAGTGTGTATAGATGAAATACAGTATATAAATACTCATGCATACGCCATCGACGACCTGGCGGCCAAATGTGGATGTTGCACGATTAATTACGCCGGAGCTGATCAGTGTCAGTTTTACCATTGGTAGTAATCTCCGGACAGAGACTGAAAAGTGTGCGCCAAGGCATCCCACCCAAGTTTAGCCCACTGCTTGCGGACGAAACAAAAAGTGCTAGCGTTAAAAAGGGACATGAGGGACTCTGGAGGACCTAACGATGAGCCGAACTCTTTGCAGCTTCGTTATGTACAAGCAGAAAATTGGATGAACATTCATCGCATCTTCTAGCTAGTACTCGTTGGTGTGAGTGCATGCAAATTAACCGATACTGACTGCCTGTTAGCAGAATGCGAATATTATGCGGTTCTTCCTCTAATGCTGATGGATTCCATTTCGCAATTCGAAATGAACGTGAAAGAGTTTCTGATGAATAATTTGCTCCACCTTCAAAGCCGTTTTTCAAAGGCGATTAAAAATCAACTATGAAAAATTAAAGCCTGTCTTTGTACCTTGACCGGGCGGAGAGTGGCCACCTGCCTTTAGATTTAGCGTGAGCAGATTCCGAAACAAACTCTTAGAACGTTTGCTGCTACGAAGACCTAAATAATTCCGCACTTCCTGTCTTCAACGTTTCGCCAGCTAAACAAATTCGCTTTGGTCGTTTTACCGCCTGCCATTTATAAGGGCATATTTCGCGGTTTTCATACAACACCCAAGGTCCGAAACATGTAAATCACGTATAGGAATTAACGGAGAAATCTATTCCTTGATGGCGGATGTCGGTGGGCGCTGTCTGTGGTAAGTGTGGCATTCTTACTGATTTCACCGCCTAGGGAGCCGCCTCCTCGCCCTCCAGGTCATGTTGATACTGACGTCCCCCTTGTCCAATAGTAGTGGCACCCGTTTTTGTTTATCTTGGTAAGTGAAGCGGGCACTAGTTTTACCCCGAAAACACCTGCGTGGCTAGACTGTGCGCCGCCGAATGATGCATATAGAATGGGCAAGGCTTTGAATTCGAGAGTTTGTGCACCTTTTCCAGTCATCAGTTATATTTTGAGTAGGTTTCACGCATGCGGTAAGCCGAAACTGTGCCCAGCGGCCTTGTAGCACAGACAGGACGTCGGTTTATCACATCGCTACTCCAGGACTTGCGTATTTTATATGATACGCCCGCAATTTTTTTCATTCTACAACATCCGCGGCCTCAAGGTCCGTTAATTAATTAAATGAATTAATTCTGCCGTATTGTGAGTCAGATTGCACTGTCTCCCACCAAATATGTCTCTTAAAGCTTGTAGGCTGGGTGAATAAAAGTTTGCTTTTTAGGTCTGGTCGGCTGGGGCTAGATTTCACCGTATTTCTGTAACACCTCGAATACTCCCCCACCAGAACACGACGCGTTGGATAAAAACAGACGGACGCCGAGCACATCTCCTAAGAAGAATGACCACTAGGTCGCCGCCACCTCTTCTCTAGTCAGTGGTAACTTGACGATGAATTATAGCTACAATGGTCAAAGAGTCTGGTCGACGTGGCTGATTGTCAATTCAGTACAATGCGGGATTACGCACACAGCGCATTTAATTTTTGACCTATTTCGAACGATATTGACAGGCCAAAGAGTGACATATGTAGAAATTGATAGGGAGTTCATTCTTATCAAAAGCCTTTTCCGGTTTACATCTAAGATGTTAAATATTAAATTTTGTGCTTGTTTAGAAATACATGAATTAGTAAATGAGTCCAAGTCTTTTGCGGCACATTAATACTACAGTGTGTTTAGAAAAATCTTGAAAGAAGACTGATATTATGTCAAAGATATCTGTGCATGTGACCCATTGGTAGTCTATTGGCGTCAGCATGCTCTTGAAGAAGATAATTTTGTAGCCCGTAGACATTACTTTTTTTGAAAAAAAAAAATTAAAAATTTCGTTACAGCAATCCATTTCCTGGAGACAATGATTTACTTATATTTTTTTCCATAATAAGCACCAGAAAATTGTCACCACTGTTAAATCCCTGTCCCATTTCTTTGCGAACTTAAGACCCTTCCAGTAGAGACAGTGATTCGACATGGACGGACTTTACAGCGAGTTGGAGTCTGGCAAGCTCGAGTGGCCTATTGGAAAACACCGCCCATTTTCGCGTCAAGTGTCAAACCTCGATGCTAATCGTTATGCCGTCGGAAAGACAAAAAGAGGAAAAGGATGAGCTATGCTATCTGTTGTGGTGTGGCGGAGAATGGCCGACGGTATTTGTTCATGGCCCAAATCGTCGGGGCAAGAAGAATGTGGGGATGCAGCAATTGGGTGCCGTACGTGACAGCAAGATGTGGAACCTGTCAGTTCAGACTGCGTGTGTGTGGTACCATAGCAGCGTCACTGTAGAGTAGGCTGTTGGAGAGATGGACTTCTCGCCACTGATTTAAGTTAACTTTCGAGGTAGTCGCACAAAGCGTAAAGCGATAATGCATTTGTACTTGGAGATGGATAGACAGTGCAAGAAGAAAAGTTAGAGGTAAATATATGCAGACCAGGGCGTGCCTCCGTGGCGCAATCGGTTAGCGCATTCGGCTGTTAACCGAAAGGTTGGTGGTTCGAGCCCACCCGGGGGCGCCTTTTTCGCAAGTTGTGCTGCGATGCGAACCTGAAAATCGTCACTGTTCAAAAGTCATGAATTCCTTCTAAATTGCCTTCTCCTTAGATTTACCATTAAATTAATAAGTGGACGCCATTCAACTTTATGCATAATCAAATCGATTTCGCTGCGGTCTCTTGATATGGTACCATGAAAGGCAGCTGACATTTATGCGTTTCCGTAGGTCGGTTAAACTGTCCGTCACCGAAGGATACTAAAACATTCTCTTTCGAGAATCGCTAAAATACATCGTTTCGCATGGGGAAGCAAGGAAAACAACGTTGTGATTGCTTGGCATTTCGAAACGGCCAGGCTTTAAATTCGAGAGTATGTGCACATTTCCGAGTCATCAGTTTTATTTGGAGTAGGTTTCACACATGCGGTCAGCCGAAGCTGTGTCCAACGGGCTTGTAGCATGGGCAGGACGTCGGTTTATCACATCGCTACTCCAGGACTTGCATATTTTATATAACACACCCGAAACGTTTTTCGTTCTACAGCATCCGCGGCCTCAAGGTCCGCTAATTAATTAAATAAATTATTTCCGCCGTATTGTGAGTCAGATTGCACTGGCTTCTACCAAATATGTCCCTAACAGCTTTTATATTGAGCCAATAAAATTCGGCTCTTTTGTTGTTGTCGGCAGGGCCCTGATTTTACCGTATCCACACAAGACTTCGAATACTCTGCCGCCAGGACGCAACGGACAGGACAAAAAGACGAACTGACCAGCAGGTCACCGCTTCCTCTCCAGCGGTAGCGCTATCATCTGTTTTAGAAAACGATGAATAATGTCCACAATGATCAAAGAGTCTAACCGACCTAGCTGATTTTCAAGTTAACACGGCACAAAGATGCGGGTTCACGCACGTATAGCAATTAATGTTTAACGTATTCCGACCACTTCTGGGAGTTCAATTGTCAACAAGTATATAACTGTCTTGGGAAAGCATTTCTGTAAGAAAATCTTTCCTGTTTTACATCGAAAACGCTTGATTCGAAATTCTGAGCTTTTCTTAGGAATCCACGAATTAATAAATCAGGCGAATCATTTTAAAGCACATAAATGCCACGGCGTGTTTAGAAAAATCTCACCAAATTACGGTTATGTCACAGATAGCTGTGTATGTGACGCAGTAGTAGTCGGTTGGCGTCGGAATGCCTTTGATGGAGCTCCTGCGCAGAAGAAGCTAATTTTGTTGCTCGTAAACTTTAAGGCTCAAAAAAGGTTTTAAAACTTCGGCAAAGAAATCAATCTCCTAGACGTAATGCACATTTCTATTTTTACTAATAAAACAACAAAACTGTCAGCACCGTAAAATTCCTAGCCAATTTCTACGTGTATTTACGACTTTCATTTCAGAGGCATTACTTCGACAGTGGCAGCTTACCCAGCGAATTTACGTCTGGAATACTCAAGCAGACTATCGATAAACACGGTCTATTTTCTCTTCAACTGCGTCAAACTTCGGTGTTAATTGCAATGCAGTCAGAAACACAAGAAGCCGAAAAGATTGGACTATACTATCTGCCATGGTGTGGCGGGGAACGGCTGACGGAATTTGCTCAAAGCCTTGAAGCAGGAAAAATGCGGGGATACAACAATTAGGCGCCGTGCGTGACGACAAGATGTGGGGCCTTTCGGGTCAGACTGTGTATGTGTGCGTGTGAGTGGGTGGTGCCCTCCATACGGGCCACGTGTTAGATGCGCTGGACCAACACGGGGGCCACATCGGACTCTGGCAGGCGTCATCTGTGTGCAATAACAAATTCCAACATGTGCGGGGTGCGCTGGCGGACCCTGTTGTCGTCATTCGTCGCACAACTGGACCACTGTCAACACCCCATTGTTTTCTGGTCAAAATCCTGGTCATTTGTGTGTGGAGCAGGGGGTGCGGAGTGGAGCGCCAAGGCGAGGATCCGTCCAAGCCATCCACCTGCGGCCTGCCTCGTCTCCGGTCTTTTTGACTTGGTCTTCATACAGGGCTCAGGCGGGGGAGGAGGAGAGAGTGTAGGTAGATGCTACGCAAGTCAACTGGCACTCTAAACCCCTGCGTAAGTCACCGTCCCTGCTCCCACAATGCAGTCTGTGGGGCACACGGTGGACATTTTCGAAATCGATGGTCGAACTGTCGGGTGGGTGGGTGGGTTTTGTCCCCCCAAACGGACCACGTGTTAGATGCGCTGGGGCAACACGGGGTCCACATCGGATTCTGGCAGGCGTTATATTTGCGCAATAACAACTACCAACTTTTACTGGGTGCGCTGGCAGACCATGTTCTCGGCTGTCGTCGCTCAACTGGAACACTGCCACCACCTCATTGATTTGGCGGTCAAAATCCTGGTCATTAGTTTTGTGGACCAGGGTGTACGGAGTGGAACGACAAGGTGAGGAACCGTCCAAGACATCCCCCTGCGACCTCCCTCGTCTCCGGTTTTTTGACCCTGTCGTGACACCGGGCTCAGGCGAGGAAGGAAGGAGAGTGTGGCAGATGCAGCGCCAGTCCACTGGTACTATAAACCCCTGCGCAAGTCACCGTCCCTGCTCCCACCACTGCTGAGGTGGGACATACGGTGGACATCGTCGGATGCAAAGGTCGAACTATTGTGTGTGTATGTGTGTGCCTTAAATTTGCCAAGGGGTGGTGCCCCAGTGGCTTAGGTTGTGGTTGCAGGGGGCAGGGAGGTTCAAGTGACCGCATGACACCTGCGTGAATTACCTTGAAGCAGCGGAGCCCTGGAATAAAGGAAGATACATCGAGTAGAAAACCTGCTTAGTCCTCATCTATGGCGGTCGTCATGCGTACATCCAATTCACTAAGTGAAATAGTAGGTATATGAAGGAGTCATATAGAGTACGACTTTAAGTTGTTTCGATATACGGGTGTAACAGTGCTGTCTCACAGGGGATGCACTTGTACGCGATAGCCGATATCATAAACGGGTGCCCAAAACGGTGAGGTGGAAGAGGCTGGCGGAGACTAGCATGATGTAAACTCCGCCATAACCCCACCTAGAGCCCACTTAGCCTTCACACAGCCTTCCTTAGTCCTGAAGACTAGATGGTGCCGGACGGGGATAGTTCTTGCATGGAATCAAGATGAAGTGCCACATAAGTAATTGCATTTACCGAAAGTCAGTACTGCAAACTTGTCTAAGTAAACCTTTTCCAGAAATAGAATCATTTAGGAAAGTCGGCTGAAGTACAGCACCAATTGTATGAGGAGTAGTTTATGACAAAATATCATGGAGTTTATGGATGGCATTTACCATGTCCTCGGGTAGATACAGTGTTGGGCAAACAGCCACATCGGTGGTCCCTTGAGGACACGTCGATAAAGTAGAAAAAATGGTTGAGTTTACTCCCAAAAATATATTTATTTTGCCTGGCTAGAAGGCGCTGGGTGATGAGCTGGTGTTGGCAGCATAGGAGACTTCTCCCGTCATCATTTTCAAGCGAGCGAATTTCCATACGAGAACAAATATCACCATATCATCCGCCTTGAATTATTTTTAGTGAGATTGCTCTCGCCGTTGGTGCACACTGTTTTGCTTGCTTTATTAATCGTTGTTACTTTGCCGTCGCGGCCTTGCCAGAGCAGCGTTACTTTAGAGTAGTCAGTTGGAGAAGCGGACTCATCGCCATTGATTTAAGTTACCGTTCAAAGTCGTCACACAAGGCGTAAACCGAGAATGCATTTGCACATTAAGCTGGGTAGGCAGAACAAGTAAAGAAGTTGAAGACTAATTTATGTGAGCCATAGCGTGCCTCCGTGGCGCAATCGGTTAGCGCGTTCGGCTGTTAACCGAAAGGTTGGTGGTTCGAGCCCACCCGGGCGCGTCTTTTTCGCTAGTTGTGCTATAATGCGAACCTGCATATGGTCACTGTTCGAATGTCATGAACGCCTTCCAAATTGCCTATTCAGTAAATTTACCATAGAATTAGCAAGCGAAGGCCATTCAATTTTATGCATGCTATAGTCGATTTCGCTGCGATATCTTGACATGGTATCATGAAAAGCAGCTGACATTTATGCGTCTCCGTAGGTCAGAACCGTGGAATAAACGGTAGACCGTTCAGTCACCCGTTGAGATCTGATGTTCCATCCATTTTAAGACCGTCCGCGGTTGTCGGGGTTGTTGTGACTAAGCGGTGTAAATTTGTAATAGGTGCGCTACCAACGTCCGGTCAAATCCCAAGTTGTAGGGAGAAGATAGGAGGCATCAGAAGGGGGGTTTATGGTTTGCAGAACCATGGGTTGTCCTCTCAGGCGGCGGTGGCTACTGGCGAAACAAGGGCTGGTGTTGACTGCGTCCAGTCCTGCCTGGGAGTCCCTGAGACAATAGTGAGAGCATCTTTTGTGGGCTCGTGGGCCAAGCTCTCCAATCGGTGTGTGTGTGATATATTGCGACATCACTGATCACCATCACTATCAATGATCGCCATTGTAGCTTTTATCTGCGGGTAGCTTGATAGTCTAAAACGAACGTGCTGCCTGAAGATGTAGGCGACGTTTTTGGATATTGATCAACTCGAGGCGTTAGTAGATAGGCGTAGGACCCTGGAGCGCTCTTATCTCTCAGGATAAACTACCTTCAGATCACCATGACACAATCAAGAGAGTTTACTGATCCTTTCCAAGGACGATTTACTCACACACAACATATATCATTGTTTGTTTACTGGCTCCTGCAACCGACGTTGATTAACCAGTCCCGAAAGTCATACTCTTACAACCTATACCATATGTAAATGGAATACGTTACAGAATAATAAATGTAGCCAGAATTTCCTTGTCTTGTCCGAATTCGATATTAAACAGTCAGTATTCTATTGTTTAATTTTCCGTTGCAAGACAATCATTCTTTGACTCAAAACTGCTCCTTTAGATTTAGGGAGGTGGAAAATTTTATTTGCGTTGATAGGATATTGATGTTATCCGCGAAATATATCCTTGGGTATTTATATGAGCTCTGGTCAGACACTAAGCCATCGCAGACGCTAGTGATGCAGCTCATATTTCAACCCGAAAAATGGTCATAGTTTTTGTCGTCTTAATGCCTACCTGCCTACTTGAAAACTAGCGCAAATATTGACTCGAATCGGAAAATTTTACCTCTAGGCGTGATAGTTTGCAAAGCAGTATGTGGAGATACCACTGATGGCGTGGTTTTTTTCAAAAAACTACCTTAAAAATTACTTTTTAGTGGTTTTCAACATATTTGCCTTTTTTAACAGAACCTTGTTTTTCAAGAATTTGCTGCAGTCAGTTTGCCTCTCGTATTATGCATGACTACATGATGGGGGAAGGAAGGACAGAAGTTGTTTTTCGCTCATGTCACCCTACCGGCTGTTTACCCTGTGAGGGGTTTTCGCGAATTCGGAGGGATGATCACTTAAACAAACGTTGGTGTTACGTTAAGCCGAGGCTGTACTTAACGGCCTTGTAGCACAGGCAGAACGTCGGCTTATCCCATTGCTGCATTCCAAATGACACACCCGAAAGCTTTTTTCGTTCTAAAGCATCCGCGATCTCCAGGTCCGCTAATTGATTAAATAAATTCCTCCGTACTGTGAGTCAGATTGCAATGGCACTTTCCAAATATGCTCCTAACAGCTTGCAGATTGGGCAAATAAAATGTGGCGCTTTTGTTGTTGTCGGCAGGTACTTGATTTCACCGTATCCACACAGGACTAGGTGAATCATTTTAAAGCACATAAATGCCAGGGCGCGTTAAGCAGAATTTCGACAAATGACCGTTATTACATCACGAAGCGCTGTGATTGTTATCCATCAGTAGTCTGTTGGCGGCGGCGTTCTTTTTATGACGCTCCTGCGCGAAAAAAGATAATTTTGCAGCTCGTAGACTTTAAGGCTCAAAAAAGGTTTTAAAACCTCGTCACAGAATTCAATCTCCTTGAATTAAGGTCCTTTTCTACTGTTCCTAATTAACACCAACGAAACTTTCTGCCCCGTAAAACCCCTGGCCAATTTCTATGTGAACTTAAGGCCCTCTCAATAGAAACATCGCGTCGACAGTAACGGCCCCACAGCGAATTGACGTCTGAAAAACTCAAGTAGCCTATTGGTAAATACGGTCTATTTTCCCGTCAAAAGCATCAAACACCTAAACTAGTCGTTATACAGTCAGAAACAGAAAAAACGGGAGAGACTGAACTATCCTCTCTGTCGTGAAGGGGCAGAGGATGGTGGACAGTATTAGTTTATGGCCCAAATAGTCGGGCAAGAAGAATGTGCGGACGCAGAAATTACGGGCAGTGCGTGACAGCAAGATGCGGGAGCTGTCAGATCAGACTGTGTGTGTGTGTGTGTGTTTGAACTAGTGCAACATGACTGATCAACTTTCGGTATAAAATAAGTCTGCTGTCTGAAGATGTAGAAGACATTTTTTTGATATTGATCAACTCGGGGCGTTAGTAGATAGGTCAAGCACCCTGGAACACTCTTATCTCCAAGGCTAACCTTCCATCAGACCACCACGACGCAATCAAGCTAGTTTACTGATCCTATCCAAGGACGATGTACCCACTGTTAGGGCGTTTATTTAAAAGCTGTCCGTACGTTGTGTAAGGACCAAGAAGAAGTCTTGACCGAATCTACCATACAGCTTTGTCTTGGGACAAGTATTCTTCGAACTACTTCGAATACTTCAGATTAATTTGAAATACATCACAATCCCATGTTGTGTCGGCGAAGACCTAGACAGCAGATTGCTTGCTACCTGCCAAGCTCCAAATGTTTGCTTTTGTCCTGCAAACAGGATAACACATGATCCATTGTCCCGGTTAAATACAGTTAAAACATTTTACGCAATTGGAATCGAAGTCTACAATAAAATACAACATAAATGCAACGGTCGGACAAAAGTGGGTGCTTTTAATCCGATTTGCAAGTGAATGTTCCTATCTGCAGGATGGAAAACTAACCTCATTGAATAACCACACTCCAGCCATAAGTGTTATCTAAGTAAAGTCTGGCCAAAATAATATACTCCAAATATAGTTAATCAGCGGGCAGGAATAAACCACTGATAACATGAAAGAGAATGTGAATGTTACGCTGTTGTTCCATTCAGGCTGATAAAATTTAGCGTTGCCTTCCGGGTCAACTATTGAGAAGAAAATAAAGGTATATGCCGAACTATCTACTCCAAGCTCACGCATCAGTTGCGGATGAAATTTACATTTTTACCGTTAGGAAAGGGGGTTTACAGTCGGAAAGCTGGAGAACTCCCTGTTGAGACCAAACCGTTGTAGCTGAGTGATGCGCCGACAAAAAATGGGCCAAACCTCTGTCTGATGAACCAATTGGCTAGTGCCTGTTAATTTAAGTAAGCGAGATCAGCCAATACTCTTATGATACTTACTGCCTGTAAGCCGGACACGAATATTATGCATTAGATTTGGACCTGGAAAGGCTTGTGACGAATAATGTACACCACTTCCATACGCGTATTTCTGAACAAATCAAATCTCCACCATTAAAAATATGACCGGACTTTTAATCTCGATATTTTAATTCAACCGAAGCTAAGGCGACTGCTTGCCTTCAGACTTAACGGGGGCAGCCTATAACAAAAAGACTCTCCTAGCCTCTCCTAACTTCTGCACGCTTCCATTGTCTGTCTTTTCTGTAAGTTTAGAATCTAAGTAAATTCAAGTGGGTTATGTTTCCACCCTTTCGATCTCCCCCTGTGCGCCGTCAGTGGGGGTGCATTTTGCGGTTTTCATGCCGCACAAGTGCCTTGAGGCATGCAAAACGCTCATCAGACTGCGTGGCTCTCAATTTTGAGGTGGTGGGCCTATACGAGCATTGACTGTGATAAGTGTGGCATGTTTACTGACGTTACCGCCTTTTCGCCCTCCAGGTCATGCTGATAGTGGTTTTCGCCCTGTCCACTAGTGGTGGCGACCGTTTTTGTTTATCCTGAGAAGTGAATCAGACACTAGCTCTACCCCGAAAACACCTGCGTGGCTAGAATATGCGCCAGCGTAGGACGCCAAAACACTAAAATGCACTGGTTCACATGGAGAAGCACGAAAACATAGTCGTGATTGCCCGCCAAGGCTTTGAATTTGATTTTCTAGTTAACACGGTTTAATGCTGCGGGTTCACGCACGCATTACATATCAATTTTATTCATAGGTATTTTGGCAGATTTTGAATAATTCATATTGTCCCAACAATGAAAAACTCGGCGCCTCGGTGGGATTCGAACCCACGCAGTAAGGAGAAGGCTTTAGCACAGCCAACGCTTTAACCACTTGAGTTACGAGGCCCCGCCGGACGACTCGAGTTTAATCACATTTGGGTCAAGTTACCCGCCCAACCTACTGCAATGTCTGTAATCCACCAAATCTGGTACAGTAAGTTGACTGCCCACGCAGGATTTCCTAAGTAATTCACCTAGAACCCCCAAGATGACTACCACGATCACGCAATTCATAGGTATTTTGGCAGATTTTTAACGAATTCCAAGCACTACTGGCAGTTCAAAGGACGTCAAACATATACATAGCTAGGGAAAGCATTTCTGTAAGAAAATATTACCTGTTTTACTTCTAAAACGCATGAGTCTAAGCTCTGCGCATTGCTTAGGAATTCGTGAATTAATAAATTAGACGAAACATTTGGAATCGAAAAAATTCCATGGCATGTTTAGCCAAATCTCGACAAATGACCGTTATTATGTCACGGAACGCTGTGCTTGTGACCCATTAATAGTCTGCTGGCGTCGGCATGCTTTTGACGAAGCTTCTCCGGAGAAGAAGATATTTTTATTGTTCGTAGACTTTAAGGCTAAAAAAATATAGATCCTCGGCACAGCAATCCATCTTCTGGAAGAAATGTTCTTTCCTATTTTTAACCAAATTAACAACAATAAATTTTCCGCTCCGTAAAACCCCTGGTCCATTTCTATGTGAATTTATGACCCTCTTGGTCGAGACCCTGTATTGACGGTTGCGGTCCGCACAGCGAATTGAAGTGTGGCAAGCCCAATTAGTCTATTGGTAAACACGGTCTATTTTCTCTTCAACAGAGTCAAACACTGATGCTAATTGCTGTGCAGTCAGAAACACAAAAAGCGGAAAAGACTGAACGATACTATCTGTCATGGTGTGGCGGACAATAGCCGACGGTATTTGTCTACGGTTCAAAGCCTTGAAGCAGGAAGAATGTCGGAGGCCGTAATTAGGGGCCGTGCGTGACGATAAGATTTGGGGCCTGTCCGGTCAGACTGTGTTTGTGCGCGTGTGTGTGCGTCAATTAGTGCGACATGACTGATCGGCTTTCAGCATCGCAGCTGAATAGCACAAAAAGAACCAGCTGCCTGAAATGTAGGGTGCATTTTTGAATATTGATCAACTCGCAGCGTTGGCAGATGCGTTTAGGATACTACGAAGCGTCATATCTCTCAGGATAAACTACAGTCAATTAACCACGACGCAATCAAGCGGATTTACCGATCCCTTCGAAGGACGCTTTACCCACTGTTAGTGTGTCTAGTTAACTACTGCGCGTAGTTCGTGGATGGACTAAGAATTATTTGCGCCCGAAGCTAGCAACCAGCATTATCTTGCGACAAATATTCGACGAACAACTTAGAATATCACAGATTAATTCGAAGTGCATTATAATTTTCTGCTGTGTCAGCAAAGATTGGACGGCTGATTGCTTGCCACCTGCCAAGCTCAAAATGCTCGTTTTTTTCTCCAAAGAGGATAAATTGAAGAACGCTTCTTCAGTCTGATGCCGCACAGAATCGATCGTTCTTGTTTAACACAAAAAGCACGATACATACTGAAAGTCGGGATTCATGACAACATAGAATGTTAATGCAGCGGTCGTGTAAAAGTTGATGTCGCAAACTAACTGTGACAATTCTTCTGAACCACCACTTCCATCCTCCTCCTCCTCCTCCTCCACTGCTCCAGCGACGGCCGCTCATGCGACCACCAACCCCGACACAACAACAAGCACCACCCCCCTACCTTCGGCTTCAGACGTGAGAATCAGGACTACACCTGCCCTCAATGCGACCGCACCTTCTCCTATCACATAGGCCTGGTCGGTCGCTTGCGAATTCATCGCACAGAGACTGGCGAACCAGTGCCTGGAGCACCAACCTACGCCCATCGCACTCGCCTCCACTGCCCGCACTGCCCATGCACCTTCACGTATCGCACGGGACTATTCGGTCACAGGCGCATCCACGAGGGCGGAATTGACCGCAGTCTCGACACACCCACCCTGCCGAGCCCCACTCCCTATTCTTCACCTTGTGCACCCACCAACCTCTCCGCAACCGACATCGGCGACACCGACTTTACCACCCCTCACTCCTCCCCTTCCTCCTCTCCTTCCTCCTCCTCCTCCTCCTCCTCCTCCTCCTTCACTGCAACAACAACGGCCGCTCCGGCGTCTGTCGTGCACGACATCACCACAGACATACCTGACACAACAACAGGCATAACCCCTCCAAGCTTCGACTTCAGAGGTGACGAACAGGACTACATCTACCCTCACGACGATCGCACCTTCACCTCACTCATCGGCCTGGTCGGTCACTTGCGAATCCATCGCACAGAGACTGGAGAACGAATGCCTGGAGCACCAACATACACTCACCGCACTCGCCTCCACTGCCCACATTGCCCTCGCACTTTCACGCATATTCGGTCACATGCGCATCTACGACGACCTGTAGTAGACAACCGCCGGTTACACCACACATCTACACACTCCAAACCTCCTCAACCATCACCACCATACATTAACACTCACCCACCGCATGCACCCAACTGCCACCTCCCACGCAAGCGGGAAGTGTACATCTCGACTTGGTCCCCATGCGGCTTCGGCTGCAGGGGTGACTTGAGTCCGAGACTATCCGGACACGTCAAGCGTCGTGGATAGGAAGGTCGCTGATTGACGCCTGCACTCGGTTCATGCAGTTCGTCGCGTTGTGTGTGTGTGTGTGTGTTGTGAGGAGAGGCGGACTGGTGTGCTGGGGACGGGCTGAAGCAGCACCTTCCACGGCCCTCTCACGCAAGTGAGAGACACGCCGTTCAACCCCCGTTGTGTGAACCCATCGTGCTTGTGTGTGTGTGGCGGGCCAGGTCGTGCTGTGGCGCGCGCAGGCATGGCCAGCCGACCGTGCCAGCCATCGCGCCCATTTCCCACTCCAGTCTGCTGACCGGCTCGGACAGCGGCTGGGGTGTGGGAGTGGGAAGGGAGAGTGAGGTCGACGACTCAGCGCACTTCTCTCCTCACTATAAACAATCTGACGCGCTTGAAGCTATCACGGTGCGCTAAAAGCCGTGGCTTGAAAGGTTGCCAATGACGGGGTAACTTGGACCTCCTCCTGCACTGGGGCGGTCTGTGAGTCACGCTGCAATGGTGGGAGTGCCATATGCACTCCCACCATAGTGTGGGATGCGAGCCAGGTGTTGGCGGCACGCCTAGGTGCGGCTTCGGCCGTGCCAGCCTCCATTCTGTGTTGTGTTGGTTGAAATCCTGGTCATTCGTTGTGTGGACCAGGGGGTGTGTTGGAACGCCAAGGCGAGGATCAGTCCGAGCCATCCACTTGTGTCCTCCCTCGTCTCCGGTCTTCTTGACTCTGTCTTGACACCGGACCCAGGCGGGGGAGGAGGAGAGAGTGTAGGTAGATGCAGCGCAAGTCTACTGGCACTATAAACCCCCTGCGAAAGTCACCGTCCCTGCTCCCACCTGCTGTGGGGCACACGGTGGACATAATCGAAATCGATGGCCGAACTGTCGTGTGTGTGTGTGTGTGTGTGTTTGTTTGTTTGTTGCATTTGCCAAGGCGTGGTGTCCCAGTCACCTAGGTTGTGGTTGCAGGGGAAAGGGGGCTTCAAATGACCGCATGGGCAGCTGCGACTGCGTGAGCGCAGGTATGACTGGGCTAAGGCCATTCGAGTGTCTTCGGGTCAGCGCGCCGGTAACGGCACGCTGCGAAGGGTAAGTGACCTCGAAGCAGCGGAGCCCTGGAATAAAGGAACATATATCAAATAGGAAACCTGCTTACTCCTCATCGAGGGCGGTTTTCATATGTACATCCAATGCACTAAGTGAAATAGTGGGCATATGAAGGGGTCATATAGAGTACGACTTTAAGTTGTTTCGATGTAATGCTGCAACAGTGCTGTCTTACAGGGGATGCACTTGTACGCGATAGTTGATATCATAAACGGGTGCCCAAAACGACGAGGTGGAAGAGGCTGGGGAAGGCTAACAGGATGTAAACTCGGCCATACCCCCACCTAGAACCCCATATGACTTTCACACAGCCCACCTCAGTCCTGCAAGACAAGATGGGCGCAGACGGGGCTAGTGCCAGCAGGGAATCAAGACGAAGCGCTGCATTAGAAATTGCATTTACCGAAAATCAGTACTGCAGACTTGGCTAAGTAGACTTTTTCCCGAATAAAAAGCATTTGGGAAAGTCGGCTGAGTTACTGCACCTACTGTATAAGGTGTAGTCAATGGCAAAATAACATGCAGTTTATTGGTGGAATTTACAATGTCGTCGTGTGGATACAGTTTTGGGCAAACAGTGACATCGGTGGTCCCTCGAGGACACGTCGAGAAGTTAAAAAAATTGATTAAATTTATTCCCAAAAATCCATTCATTAATAACCGGGAAAGTGCAGTTTCCCCTGCTAGAAGTCGCTCAATGTGGGGCTGGTGTTGGCAAGCATAGGACGACTTCTTCGGTCGTCATTTTCAATCGAGCAAATTTCCATACGAGTACTCAAATCGCCATAACGTCGGTTTTGATTTATTTTTTGTAAGATTACTCTCGCCGTTGGTGCACACCGATTCGTTTACTTTATTACTCGCTTTCCGTTGCCATCGTGGCCTCTACCATAGCAGCGTCACTTTAGAGTAATCTGTTGAAAATAGGGCCTTCCTGCCATTGATTTAAGTTAACCTTCAAGGTAGTCACACAAAATGAATGCATTTGCACATGAAGTTGGATAGGCAGCACAAGTCGAGAAGTTAGGCGAGCCAGAGCGTGCCTCCGTGGCGCAATCGGTTAGCGCGTTCGGCTGTTAACCGAAAGGTTGGTGGTTCGAGCCCACCCGGGGGCGCCTTTTCGCAAGTTGTGCTGCGATGTAACTCTGCTTATCGCTACCGTTCGAAAGTCATGAACTCCTTCCAAATTGCCTACTCATTAAATTTACAATAGAATTAGCAGGCGGACGCCATTCAATTTTATGCATGGTATAATCCGTTTTGCTGCGGTCTCTTGACATGGTATCATGCAAAGCAGCTTAAATTTATGTGTATCCTTAGGTCCGAACTGTGAAATGAACGGAAGGCCGTTCAGTCACCCGTGGAGATGTGATCTTACGTTTATTTTAAGGTCGTCCGCGGTTGTCGGGGTTGTTGTGACTAAGCGGTGTGAATGTGTAGTCTGAGCGCTACCATAGTCAGGTCAAATCCCTAGTTGCCGGACGAAAATAGGAGGCATCAGAATGAGGGGTTTATGATTTAAAGAACTCTGGGTTGTCCGCTCAGGCGGCGGTGGCCACTGGCGAAGCCAGAGCCGTTGTTGACTGCGTCCAGTCTTGCCTTGGAGTCCCTGTGACAGTGGTGGCAGCCTCTTTTGTAGGCTCGTGGGCCAAGCTCAAGTGGTGGTCAATCGGTGCGTGTGTATGTGTTACATTTGCCAAGGGATGGGATCTCAGTGGCTTAAGTTGCGGTTTTCCGGGGGGGGGGAGGTGACCGCATGGGCAGCTGCAAATGTGTGGGCGCAGGTATGTCTGAGCTGAATTCAGTCGAGTCGCGTCTGGTCAGCGTGTCTTTAACGACTCTCTGCAAGGCCTGAATGACCCTGAAGCAGTGGGACCCTGGACAATGACGCTAGACTGGTCATGATGTGCTTTCAATTGTTCTCCAATCGGTGTGTTTGTGCGTAATATGGTGCGTCATCACTAATTACTATCACTATCACTAATCGCCATGGTAACTAGGCAGTATAAAACGAACCTGCTGCCTGAAGATGTAGGCGACGTTTTTGGATATTAATCAACTCACGGCGTTAGTAGATAGGCGTAGGACTCTGCAACACTTATTTCTCAGGAAAAAAACAACCGTCAGATCACCATGCCGCAATCAAGCAAGTCTGTCGATCCCTTTGAAGAACGCTCTACCTACTGTCATGGCATTTATTTAACGGATGTCCGTATGTTGTGAATGGATCAAGAAGAATTCTCGACCGAACCTATCCAACAGCATTGTCTTGGGACAATTATACATCGGGCTAATTCGAATACCTCCAATTAATTTGAAGTGCAATATAATTCCATGTTCTGTTGGCCAAAACCTAGATGGCTGATTGCATGCTACCTGTGAAGCTCCAAATGCTCGCTTTTGTTCTCCAAATAGGATAACTTGAGGAACTGTTTTTCCGCCTGATGTTGCACAGAAATGACCGTTCCTGTTTAATAAAAAAAGCATGGGGGACGCTAAAGAACTCCCTGTTGAGACCAAACCGTCGTAGCTGAGTGATGCCCCGGCCGAAATTGGGCCATACCTCTGTCTGACTAATTGGCTAGTGCCCGTTGATTTGACTACAGGAAATTAGTCAATATACTCATGATACTGACTGCCTGTAAATCGGACGCGTATATTATGCATTCGGTTTGGACCCGGAAAGGCGTGTGACGTATAATGTACACCACCTCCATACCCGTAGTTCTGAACAAATCACAAATTCTACCATTAGAAATGTGACCGGCCTTTTAATCTTGTCACATCAGTTCAACCAAGGGTAAGGCGACTGCCTGCCTCTAGATTTAGCGTTGGCAGCCAATAACAGAAAGAGTACCGTAACGTATGCTGTTACGTCGAATTGTGTATTTGCACGCTCGCAGTGTTTGTCTTTCCGGCAAGTTTAGCATCTAAGTAACTTCGAGTTGGTCCGTTATCCACTCATCCTATCTCCTCTGTGCGCCATTAGTAGGGGTACATTTTGAGGTTTTCATGTCGCACAAATGACTCGAGGCGTGCAAATCGGGTACCAGACTCTACGCGACCCTCAATGCTGAGGTGGTGGGCCCAGACGAGTACTGGCATGCTTACTGAGGTCACCGCCTTGGGATGCTGCCTCTTTGACCTCCAGGTAGGGCTGATACTGATGTTCTCCTTGTCCAATAGTAGTGGCAACCGTTTTTGTTTATCTTGGGAGGTGGATCGGACACTAGCGTTGCCCCGTAAACACCTGTGTGGCTAGACAGAGCGCCACCGAAGAATGCAAAAATATTCTCACGCGAGAAACGCCAAAACACACCGTTTCACATGGGGAAGCAAGAAAAGCAGAGTCGTGATTGTCTGCCAAACTGAGAAGCCAAGGATTTGAAGTCGACTTTCTAGTTAACACGATATTATACTGCGGGTTCACGCAAACATTACGTCCAATTTTTAGCATAGTTCGAGCACTATTGGCCTTTCAATGCGTGGCAAGTATATAACTGTCTAGGGAAAGCATTTCTGCAATAAGTCTTTCCTAGTTTACTTCCAACATGCTTGATTCTGTATTTTGAACATTTCTTGAGAACCACTGAATTATTAAATAAGGTGACACCTGTTGAATCACATAAATTTCACGGCGTGTTTAGCCAAATCTCGACAAATGGTCATTATTTTGTCTCGGAACGCTGTGCTTGTGACCCATTAGTAGTCTGCTGGCGTCGGCATGCTTTTGACGGAGCTTCTCCGGAGAAGAAGATGTTTTTATTGCTTGTAGACTTTAAGGCTAAAAAATATAGATCCTCGGCACAGCAATCCATCTTCTGGAAGTAATGTTCTTTCCTATGTTTAACTAAATTAACAACAATAAAATTTTCCGCTCCGTAAACCCCTGGCCCATTTCTTTGTGAATTTAACACCCTCTTGGTAGAGACCCTGTATTGACGGTTGCGGTATGCGCAGCGAATTGAAGTGTAGCAAGCCCAATTAGTCTATTGGTGGACACGGTCTATTTTCTCTTCAACAGAGTCAAACACTGATGCTAATTGCTGTGCAGTCAGAAACAGAAAAAGCGGAAAAGACTGAACTATACTATCTGTCAGGGTGTGGCGGAGAATGGCCGACGGTATTTGTCTATGGCTCAAAGCCTTAAAGCAGGAAGAATGTCGGAGGCCGTAATTTGGGGCCGTTCGTGACGGCAAGATGTGAGGCCTGTCCGGTCACACTGTGTCTGTGCGTGTGTGTGTGTGTGTAAATTAGTGCGACATGACTGATCGGCTTTCATCATCGCAGCTGAATAGCACAAAAGAACCAACTGCCTGAAATGTAGGGTGCATTTTGGAATATTGATCAAATCTCAGTGTTAGCAGATGTGTTTAGGGCACTCGGAAGCGTTATATCTGTCAGGATAAACTACGGTAAAATAACCACTACGCAATCAAGCAGATTTACCGATCCCTTCGAAGGACGATTTACTCAGTGTTAGTCTGTCTAGTTAACTACTGCGCGTATTTCGTGGATGGACGGAGAAGTATGTTCGACCGAGTCTAGCAACCAACATTATCTTGCGACAAGTATTCCTCGAACTATTTCGACTATCTGAGATTAATTCGAAGTGCATCATAATCCTCTTTTGTGCCGGCAAAAACTTAGACGGCTGACTCCTTGCCACCTGTCAAGTTCCAAATGCTCGTTTTCTTCTTCAAAAAGGATAACTTGAGAAAATCGTTTCTCCAGTCTGATGCCGCACGGAGTCGATCGCTCTTGTTTAACACAAAAAAATATGGGACATACTGAATGTCGGAATTCATGACAATATAGAACGTAAATGCAGCGATCGTGTAAACGTGGGTGCTCTTTATCTGATTCGGCAACTGAAAACTCCAATTCGCAAGCTGAACAGCAGAAAAAACTAAACTGACTAATTAATCATACTCCCGTCATATATGGTATCTAAATAAACTCCCACCATCATATCTACTGCAAATATGGAAGATCGATAGTCAGAAATACACCACTGACAACTCGTTGGCAGAATGTGAATGCAACGCTGTTATTCCACTGAAGCTGATAAATTTAAAGTTTTAAGTTAGGAAAGGGGGCATACATTAGTGAGCACAAGGGGGACGCTGAAGAACTCCCTGTTGAGACCAAACCGTCGAGCTGAGTAATGCCACGGCCGAAATTGGGCCAAACCTCTGTCTGACGAATTGGTTAGTACCTGTTATTTAAAACAAAGGAGATCAGTCAATATTCTTATGAAACTGACTGCCTGTAAGTCGGACGCGAGTATTATGCAGTCGGTTTGGACCCGGAATGGCTTGTGATGAATAATTTACCGCACATTTACAGGAGTATTTCTGAACAAACTAAAAAGTCCACCATGAGAAATGTAACCATGCTTTCGATATTCTCGTAGCAGTTCAACCGAAGGTAAGGCGATTGCCTGCCTCCAGACTTAGCGGGGCAGCCTATAACAAAAAGACTCTCGTAAGCTCTTCTGTTAGGTCGGATTATGTATTTGTACACTTCCAGCGTTTGTCTTTTCGGTAAGTTTCGGATCTAAGTAACTTCAAGTTGGTCACTTTTCCAGCCATCCGATCTCCCCTGTGCGCCATCAACAGGGGGTGCATTTTGCGGTTTTCATGCCGCACAAGTGACTCGAGGCGTGCATATCGCGCACCAGAATATACATGGACCTCAATTTTAAGGCGGTGGGCCTAGAAGAGCACTAGCTGTGATAAGTGTGGCATTCTTACTGAGGTCACCGCCTAAGACGCCGCCACTTCGCCCTACACGTCATGTTCCCCTTGTCCACTAGCAGTGGTAACCGTTTTTGTTTATCTTGGGAAGTGAAGCGTACACTAGTTTTACCCCGAAAACACCTGCGTGGCTAGACTGTGCGCACGAATGACGCCAAAACATTATCGACCAAGAAACGCTAAAATACAGCGTTTCACATGGCGAAGCAAGAAAAACAGGGTCTTGATTGCTTGACACACCGAAACGCTAGGACTTTAAATTCGACATTCTGAGGGCATTTCTCTGTTAACCCGTATACTTAGAGTAGGTCCCACGCTGCTGATTATATCCGCCAACATCATTCTTCCACGCGACTAATGTGCGTTAATGTCATACTGGAAGCCCTGTTTCCTAGAGAAATTGGCTTTTGTAAGTTGTTTCTCCCAGTCTTCAGTTGATTGGATCACGAACCGCAGGACGTTTGACATCAAAAGTCAATGTCCTGTGCATCAAATGAGTTCCTATGGGAAATATCAACGGACAACTCGCTGTTAGTAGGGGGTTTGAAGTTTACCAATGGTGGGCGGACGTTCATCGACACGGTTACCAGACACGCTGGCCTCTTGTGCCTTATGTCTCCATTAAGAGGCCTCCGCGGCAGTGTGGATACTGAAAAGAATACTGACGAAAACATCTTTGACTGATGTGGCCACCGCTGACTCGCTAGCAGACACAAGTTAGCATTTACCGGCCTTAGTTTGCTGGGCCTGGGATAAGCTCTGGAAGTGAGCTATGGGTTGTTTGTTTTGGCCGACCCGACCAGGAATGCTCATAAGGAACTCGTAAATCAACCCCAGGTTGTTAGACTTCAAGACGTCCAGTGACTAAAGATCCCTCTTCGAATTGGAAGTTACTGGAATACGGGTTTGAGTAGAGCTTGTTTTAGACGACTACTAAGCAGGAAACAGTCCTCGTATGTGTCGGTACTGCTTACGTACATGTTGATTTATGTTTCTATTTCTTAAGGAGGGGGAACAGTGATTAGAATTCATTCCGCATTACAGGAGGTTGTTGACCTTCTCACCCTGTATAATTTGAGCGCGACGAATTCACATCATGCGATTACTCGCAGACTTATTCCTTTTGATAAAATTTTTGGCGCATCTGAAATAATCCAAAAAAACTTCTCATGACCAACCCTAGAGCTCGTCCGCAGGGGTTTTGGTGTCGTCCGACCCGTTGATGAAGGCCCGGTGCAAATGTACGGAACAGACATCCCGTTATTTAGTTAAATCCACTTCTGAAAAGTTGGCCTAAACCCTTCAAACGCCTAGAACGTGCGCTGTACGCCTGCCTTGCAGACTGCATTCCATATGGGCCCACTTATATCCATCGGACGATGCCATTAACATACCGTCGTCCTGTTCTTAGTCGCCTAATTTCGTTCCCCCGCCCATCGAAATCGTACTTGACACCCTCTTCCTATCAAAAGTGTATTTACAAATACCAAGTTTGTCAAATTAGAGCTTGGTCGCTTTTTGATTTGGCTAAATTAGTTCATACATCCATCCACAATATAGATTGATCGCTTTGGCGGACAGTTACCTATTTATTAACTAAGCAAACAGTGTCCCTCTACCACTTCTTATTTATCCTTTCGGCGTCCCCTAACGGGGCTCTTTGGTGGATGCCAATCTCGTTTGTTTGACATTGGTACCCTATTCTGCCGAATTGGATGGCATATCTGGTTAGTGAAATTAACTTATCGTGATGGCAGTCAGTTATGGCTTAAGGTTGGGTTGGGGGACAGAGTAATGAGTTATGCAGCGCCGAAGGGCAGCTTCCGCCGATGCAGGGTGGTGGGGTTGGAGACGAAAATGAGAAACGAGACGGAGAGGAGGAGGAGGAGGAGGAGGAGGAGGAGAAAGCTGAAGATTTGGGGTAAAGGAAAGGGAAGAAGGATGGGTAGGGAAGAAAATGAGAAGTAGATGAGGAGGTCGGGGGACAGTCGTGGGCCGAGGAAAGCAAGGCACTTTGTGGAGGAGGTCGAAGTAGCAGAAAAACGGAGCACGTTGACTATAACGTGCAGCAGTCCATAACTTCATGGGCGCCAAATAAACAAGAAGGAGTTTTAGTTCGTTGGAGACAACAATGAGGAAATGTTCTCCATCAATTTCAGTAGGAAGGGCAGAGTCTGCCCCAGATAACTCCTCAATATAAGTTAACTGTCCAAAACTGTTACGCGTAAAGCTACCATTCTCCTTGTGCCCAATTGGTTTGAAATCCTGACTGACGTCTGAACTACCTTTCTTATTTTCATTCATCAGGAATTAATGTTCTGTTCTCAACTTTCGAATCCAGGCCATTTCACGAATCATTGCACCTACCCCCATTAATTAACCGTTATCGATGAGTCGCTCAATCGTTGCTTTACGCCTCAACCTTCACTTTGTACTTTATTGCATTCCTAGCGAAATAGCAGCAAATGATAATCAAATGTTAAGTAGAAGTCAATACAAATTTTCTAACAGTTTGCTTGAACAGTGCTCCCGTTCCCTTCCCAACTTCTGCCTCCTTTTTTAGCCTGCCTGTATTTCCACGCGATGCCACATGCGAACGCATTCCACCTCCCCCGCCCCCAACTTTTTGCCCAACTACAAGCAAAAAATGCCACTGTGTGGCAGCTGGTCGGGAAAATGTACAGAGTTCTTTTTAAGGCAAATAGTGGGATATCTTAGGTCTTCTATGCACTGCACTACAGAAGATAGTTCCGGGGGATGGGAGCCTATTCAGATCTGCGCGCAGATACGTAGGCACACACACACCATAAAAAACCTTAAACACGTTCAGCTGATAAGCTAGATGAGTTGTTGAGGCCAAATTCCCAGTCGGCATGTGCTGACGTAGAAGTAGTCGACCTTCGCCGACTCTCCCTCCCTCCCTCCTCCTGCTCCTGCTCGCTTTCGGTAGGGTTCAAATGAAAGTTCAGTCCAGTGAGATCCTCTTTGAAGAATTTCAGCATCTCGATAGGCACGGGGAAGACGATGGTGGACTCTTTGCCGGAGCTGATGGTGTTGAGGGTTTGCAGGTAGCGCAGCTGCACAGCTATGGGATGTTGACTGATCTCCAGAGCTGCAAATTTTAGGGCACTTGAAGCGCGCATTTCACCTTCTGCGGCTATGACCTTGGCAGTGGCCTCTCTGGCTGCCTCGGCCTCGGCAGCCATGGCTCGTTGCAGTTGGATTGGTAGCCGGACGTCTTTGATTTCCACTCGTTCCACCTTCACTCCCCAGGCCTCCGTCACGGAGTCCAAACATTCCTGGAAATGAGAGAAGATCAATTTTATAACGTTGAGCTGCATCCGAAGCATTTATTCGCGGTATAACAGGGGGAATCGAAGGTCGTATTTGGCTGCAGAACGTCCTGTTGAGATCTTAAGTATTTCGAGAAAAGGCAGTTAGCCCTACAGTAGACGTGCTAACTCATGCAATGTCAACCGAAATTCTGAAGCGCGTTTTCGTTTCGAAAAGATTAATTAAGTGGGATTGTAAAACTAATCTGTCTAAAACCTAATTCTATTATACTTCAGTTACCTCAGAATGCTAGCTTTAGAATGAACTTCCTTCCGGCTGCATGCAAAAACTGCACCCTATAAAAAATAACTCTCTGTGTAGCATGCATTTTTCCCATTGATGTTCGATGCGCCTAAAAGTTCAATTATAATTAATGAAAAACATGCATGAATATATTTATTCTTTTGTTCGTTCGGTAAAAAAATGCATCTTCAAATTTGGTGATCGAAGGAGGCACATAATTTAGTTTTAAGAAAGTTTCTAGTTGTGGGACTTTTAAATACCGTGAAGTGGCCCTTCATAAATCGTCATGTCTCTGCATTTAATAATGTGGCTCGTAAAGTTAACAATATGGATCAAATCCGCTGCTAAATGTTATGCATCCTATATGGTCACCCCTTTATTACCTTAGAAAAATGTGTGATTTTCGTAGGCGGAAAATATACAGTTTGTAGTTTGGAAACCCTGAATCCACGTGTAAAGGTAGAGCGTGTTCAAAATTATTCGGGAGATGAAAACGTTTTTGAAAACCGAATTATTCCCTTCTTTCGCGTAAAAGATTGAAAGAAGACGTAATGTTCTACCAAATGGGCAAAATAATTGATATTTTTATGCATGTTTTTCATGCAATATAATTGAAAACTTAGAAGCATCGAAAATCAATGAGAAAAATTAATGCTGCATAAGTAGTCATTTGTTATAGAGTAGTTTTTGCATGCGGCCGGGAGGAAGTTCATTCGAAAACCGACAGCCGGAAGAAACCGAAATATCATAGATTTATGTTGCAGGCTGATTAGTTTTACAATCCTGCTTAATTAATCTTTTCGAAACGAAATGCATTCCAGAATTTCGGTTGACATTTCAAGGGTTGGCCCACCTACTGTAAGTACGCTGTTCATGGTTTAATTACGGTCGAAAGAATTGTGTAATCAGTCTCACTCGTCGCATTCAACTGTGAAAATTTTATTCACATCTCAGCAGAGGTCAGCAAAATGTCTTGATTGATGGATGGAATAAAAAATATCTGATCTACTCTGGAGTTCGGTAGGAACAGTCCGCGACCGTTGACTGGAAACAGACAACCAGTAGTATGCAGACACTAGAGTAGAATAAGAATTACAACCGGAATGACAGCTTTCCGACCGTCAACTGGGGATGTTTCATGATAAACTTTAGTGGCCAATGTTAACTGGGATTCTCCAATAAATGTTCAATTAGGAAGTACTACTTAAGCAGGCTTGCAACATTGGTTATCGCGCAGCGCGATCGTAGGATAGGATGCCTACCTTTTAAAACACTTCTTTTCGAGCACCTGCAAAAACCGCACTCGACAAAAAGGACTAAATACAAAGTATGTTTTTCCCTTACTAGATATTCAACGGTTTCTTCGAGTGCAATAAGGGCTAATTGCAGTGTTGTAATCCTTTTTGCGCATCCTCATCTGTGCTAACAGTCAGGTCAAAAACGTTGAGTCGGAAAAGTAATTTGAAAATATCCTAGAAGGAACGTCTCAGTAATCTCGGCGATGTTTGGTATTTACGACTACTATAGCGCTTGCTGGTATACAATGCAATAGATGCGAGGTGTAAAGTTTAGAACAATCCGATTATATTGCGCAGATTCTCCTATCGCCGACTAATTTTTACCTCGAACTGCCTTCACACTTGCGTTTATGATTTACGGTCTGCAAACCGTATACCTTCTATTTTAGAGAAACCATATATGCCTCTGTGTTAGCTAGGAGATAACACATGGGCTTCTACGATTTTGCAGTTCATGCAGACAATTTTCCAAACATTGAAAAACAGTAATAAAGGTTTGACAGAATGCTATTTCACAGGACAGTTAACTGTTATTAAAGGCATATAATAAACCTAATACCGAAAAATACCCTGTAGTTCGGGAAAATTTGAAGCAAACGTGAGATGCTGCAAATAGATGCAAGAAAGTATATTATTGAATTTGTTCTATAAAAAACGTTGGTTTACATATTGAATATACCTGCCAGTGTAAATACTTAACCTGGGTATCAAAAAATTATAAGTTGAGGTTAATACACCCAGAGTATTTTGGCAACCATGTTGGAGCTACAAGGTTAGTCATAGACTGACTGATTAAATACAAATGTCAGCTCCTTTAAGATCACCATACATTCTTTTTTAAATTTCAACCTAATCTAATGCGCGAAAAAAATGTTTTTCATAAGGACTCGGTTACATACTTTTTGGAGTCAAAAAACCAAATCAAGTATTATGCTACATGTATTGTCTACTTTTGAGAAAGTTGTGATTTGCGGACTCTTACTGATACGAATTTGGGCAGTCATTTGTTTTGTTTTTATACACGACAGTTCTCTCACACCACTGTAAGTGAATCGTTTTAAGATGAACACACCGCCTCTATTCCACTGTTCATCAAAAAGTTCTATAGTAGTCGCAAACACCAAACGCCGTCCCAGTATCTCAGGTGCTCTGTCGAGATATTTGCAGTTCAATTTTCCGACATTAAATTGTTTTTAACTGAATGCAGGTTGACGCAGCTCGTGTCGCGAAAGCTTTCCGTTTAATTCGTTGCGCAAGGTAGCCCATCACACTGCAGTCAGCACTAATTACATGCGAGCAAAGCGAAATTCGCATAATGGTAGCTGCAAAAGGGGTGAGCCCATACCGTTTAGGAATCCCGCATGAATGTTATACCACTCAGTGAAGTGCATTAAGTTCCCCTCGAAGCCTTTAGTCGGTACGCGTTCGGATTCCTTTGAGGAAGTAAACGGTTATAATGGTTCGGTTGAATGCACCATTTACAGCTGCAATGAAGTCTTATCATTTCCAACCAGCATAATTCCTGCCGATTATTTTTTTCAAAAACTGTAAGTTAACTTATATACAAAATAACTCTTTATATCAGACGTTTCTGGTCAAAAATAGTTTGCAAGCGGTGCCATTCCGGTATTAATGTAAGGTAATTTTAAATGTTATTTAGCGACTTGAGCATGATTTACAACCGGAAAGAGTCTGCAAGACGGCCCCAACAGAAAGAAGATTGTCGGTAAGATCTTATTTCGTTAGGGCTTAGGGTCAGGGGTTAGAGTTGGGAGTTAGAGTTAAGGGCTAGCGGTAGAAGTTAGGGTTAGTGTTTGAGGTTAGGGTTAGGGGTTAGTGTTAACCCCCAAGTACCACCGGTCCTGTATGACAGTCGCTGAGACATGTCAACTGCAGGTGCAGCTAAAAAATTAGATCCGACCAGATTATCGACTTTTCCCTAAAATAACACGTGATTAGCTCTAGAACATATATTATGTGCGGATGTGAAGGAGAGTTGCGAGTACACTGAAAAGCGGCTGGAAGGCACGAAAGAGGAAGTAAGCGTATAAACTGGAGATGCGTGTTCTGGATCAGAACCTACGCGATGCGATTTTCACTATTTATCTTAGAGTACTGCCGCTGAACGGAGCCTTCAGGGTCAGAAAACTGAACTGGAAGTGAGTGATCAAAGTCCAGACAACACAGATGTTGTCAGCGACGGGTAAAGGGGTGCGTGCAGTCGTAAACTGAGTCAAACACGGAAACTTGGATCTTCCAGCACCTCGAGCTAAGTTGCAGGGGTTTTTGTATTACTGTACCCTACTTTTAACCCTATTCATGACACTCACCCTAATCCCATTCCTAACACTAGGGGTTGGGGTTAGGAGTTAGGGTTAAAAGGTAAGGAATTAGGGTTATGGGTTGGGGTTAGAGATTAGTGGTTGAAGTTTGGGGTTGGGGTTAAGGGTTTGGGTTAGGGAGTTAGGGGTTAGGTTTAAGTTTTAGGCTGAGGCTTTTCGACTGCATGTACGGCTACGAAATAAGATACGACCGCCATTTATTAGAAGCCGTGTGCATAACATCTATTCCTCGAATGCAGGATGGAAAACGAACAATTGTTTGCACTCATCATTTAAAGAAGGTTTGCTAGCGTAAAGAACCGCAGTTTTGTTTGCTATTGCAAAGGGATATTCCATTACTGCATACATTTGCTCCTTAACAGGGATGCATTTGTGCGGTGTTGTCATATTTTATTCCATTTCTGTCGTCTACACTTTGATCATGACGTCTTTATAGTATTCGACCAAACACGCACATACTACTCCTAAAAATACAGCTTTTTTCCTATGAGGCTTTACATAAAATATAGATCTTTCGTGTGTGTTATAGGCAACTGCCAAATTCACCTTTGCTGGTTTCGTGGTAGGAGTCTTGTGATCGCAGGCTTCTTTTCAATGGGAAACACCCTTACAGGAAGTGGAAATGACATAATTCACTGAAGTGTCCAAGCAATTAATTTTGGGTGCATCCGCTAAATGACACTGAAATAAATCAACAGAGGCCTCGAAAACCAAAAGATAGCTTGCTCTACAACCAGCAGTCCGTTTTCAACCCAATAGGTCCCGTTAAGCTCTTTAAACCTTCCCAAGTAAATCCCATGGAGCAGGGAATTTCTGGCTTGCGCCGAATGTATTACTTCAAATTCTTACCCTGCTCTTTTGAGAAAATTTAAAAGAACGGCATGAAAGCTCAAGCTCATATACCAAAGGGTACACGCGAACGAGGGGGGGCCCGTTAATGAGCCGAATCCCCGCAGCTGTGTAATGCAACGGCAGGATATCAGCGAGACGCGCGTCCATGGTTTTTAGATGGTATTTAAATCGTCGGAATGGAAAATTATTGAGTAGTTGCATGCTACTGACTGCATATTGGCAGCCTATGGTTATTGAGGGGTTATTCCATAGGAGCTGGATGATGACAGCTTAAAAATCCATAGTAACTTTCGAAACGAGCATAAAATGACTTGTTACAAAGGAGGTACGCCAAACTCGAAAAATATTTTGTCCAGACTGGTTGGATTGGGCAGTATTTCTTTAGTTTTAGATTCAACTCGTCCCTTGAATGTTAATTTCATGCATTTTGCTTGCTTCGGGTATATTGTGGGTGAACAGACATGCCTGGACGTTTGCATTTCATTTTTGAAATGCGTAGGTTTCAAGTTGAAATAATTTAAGGGTTATGGGCCTGCCGGCTATGGTAACGTCAAGCCTAAATGCCGCAAAAATACACGCGTTTTATGTCCAGTCTAATTAAGTTCTAATTTATCACTTAGATACCATGTGCATGTTGCATCACTTTAAATGTTTATGTTGCATGCTTCCTGAAATACGAATGTTCTGTAGAAATTACAATGAAGATAGGAATTCTGATCATTGTGACCGTTTATGTACACGGAGACAATGAACTGGTTGCGAAAATCTGCACCTGAATTGTTGTTTTAATAACACCGGATCAGACACGGGAAACGAATAGAAACGAATATGCAAGGCTAGCAATCTTATTGGTTAAAAGATAAAATCGCGATCATTGGGGCAGTACTTGTACCAGTCTGAGTTTTCGGTCTCGCATAGGAGCCCAGCGTCAAGGACTGTGAGAACGTGACGTAAAATAAGTAGTTCAATAGGAAAACAAATAAGGGGAGGATAGGAGTAGAGGGAGTGTTCTTCGCGAAAAGGCTTGGTCCATGCCTTCTCACGGCGTCGCCACGGTGTGGAACTTTGTCTGGGAATTGGGTTGCTTCTCTTCGCCGCAAGAACACAGTAGACCTTAAAGACCTGCTTAACAGCATCTTCCAGACAAGGGAAGAAGAGAATGCCTAACAGCCGCCCTTCCATGACGTCCTCATCACACGAGATGCAAGAGAGCAGCGCTGTATATTGAAAGGCGACCGACAGGACTTGGGTTATTAACTACTGTAGCAACCGCCCGATGGCACATAAACGCGGCTGTGTTAAAGCACTCTGCCCAAGGTTGCAAAACGCATTGCAATAAATTGGGACCAACTGGCAAGGAATTGATACCCAAACAGCTTAGTCAGCCGCTGCCTTCGTGCGCGCCCACGGGGAGCGAACAGATGAGAGCTACCAACACTCTGGCAACCTCTACCGTGTATAAATAACGTGTCGAAAGCAACGGATCGTAAAGCTGGAGAGCTCGGCGCGGGTGTCGCTCATCGTGCGACAGCTATTATGCACACCAAAATCATGCAAATGAAGGACCGACTAGAAGTACGAGAAAAATCTGGTGTCCTTTATCAGCCCCCATGCCGTGAATGTCCTCGCCACTATACAGGACAGTCGGAAAAACGCCTTAGCTCGCGATTAATGGAGCAAAACTTAGCAGTCAAGAGAGGCGCAACTCGCACCCTGAAGGCGGGGGGGCACGAATTCAATGGGACGAGCCAGCAATAAGACAGGGCGGAACTGCCGGAGGCCTGGATGTCTGACACCAACTCCACAAACAGACACGTTGACATACCTTCCCCTCCCCCCGCCCCCCTGCTATCACGCGCTCCGTTCTCCGAAGACACGCGACTCAATTCCCAGCTAAGGGTGCACGCGTCAAGACGCCGTGAGACGGTATAGACTCAGCCTTATTGCGAACACCACCCTCGCCCTTCCTGCCCTCTCCCTTCTTTTTTGACAAAAAACTGCTCAGTTGACTTTGCATTCTCAGCCGAAATCTTTGCCTAATACATGTATTGTCGCAGTGATCGCGCGTTCATCTTCTTTCCAACAAGAACCAGGGTCTTGCATATTGCCTTCCATTCGTTTCCCGTGTCTGATTCGGTTTTTTTTCCAACAACGGTTCAGGTGGGAATTCACGCAACCGGTTCATTGCCTGCGTGCGTACAAACGGCCACAACACAGCTCAAATTGTCAACTACCGTAGTAACCACCCCACAGTTCGACCGTCGATTCCGACGATGTCAACCGTGTACTCTACACCAACGTGCAGCAGGCACGGTGACTGGGGCGTGAGTTAGTTTTTAGTGATAGTGGACTTTCACAGCGTCTACCGCACTCTCTCTGCCACACCACCCACCTGGTCTCGATGTCAAGACAGAGTTCTGAAGACCGAAGGCAGGGGAGGGTTCAGGTGGTTGGCACGGTGGGACCCGCAGCTAGGCGTGCCACCAAACTCCCTGGTCCACAACATACAGTTGACCAACATTTTTCACCAACAACGACACCCCAACCGGAGGGCCAGGGCAACGAGGGTGACTGGACAGCCATGCCCATCACTTTTATCCTCGGTGGGAGCGCAAGCGCATCTACCGGCAGGGAACTAGGTGCCCGGGAATTGCCAGCGCACACCTGGCTGTGAGGGCCCTGGTTTGCTGTACTGGCATAGCACATGCTTTAGGACCCCTGACGCAATATAAATACACCCAGTACTACAGGTGGCCACACGCTAAATTCCGGAGCGTTATTCATCCCTGTATTCCAACCTTGGGCTTGACTCCAATTCTAGCGTTAATACCAGCCGTCATAACCCACACCTTAATACTAACCCTTACAACATTGACCATAACACTTACCCCGACACCATGAGCCCTGAACCTTACCCTAACCCTGGCCCAAACCCTCCTAACCCTAGTTCTAGCTCGCGTTACCATGACACTAGTCCTAACGCCATCGAATTTAGGACAGGGCCATTTGTAGTAGAGGGATCTAAATTCTTGTGTGCAGTCGAAACCCCTTATCATATCGACAAAAGTAATCGGAAAAGTGTCAGTCAAAAAGAACCTTTAGAATAAAATCTCCTTCAAAATAATCTATATTTATCAGCTGTGGGCTATCGGATTAGACCACGGCTTTATGCAAAAAACATAAATAAAGATCACCTTAAACCATGAAATTCCGGCGAGATTTTATTGCCGACAAATGAGCTAACTCCATCATGTTTTATCCAAAATTGATCGTGCCTCGTCAGTGAACGACGGTTCTAGGGCACTTCGTTCACATCAGAAGACCAATCACAGCAGTTTTCTGCAAGTTATTAAATATGCGAATATCAAGCCTTCACCTCCACCACAGCGAAATTTAATCTCCTAAATATTTAACCTGAGAAAGTGATGACAGTGCAATGTGAGAGAAAGTCTAATGTGCCCCTGAGTTACTGTGATCTCCAATCAGTGAGAGACAAGAAAAGCACGTAAGTTATTTTTTGCAAAATTAACTAGAAGTATTACGCGTATAGAAAAGGTAGTGTCGTTTTTATGGTCTCAATTTGAGTGCTTTTGATTAGGTTTTGGAGTCTTGCCCGTTCGAAATAGGCGTCTTTACATATGAGTTAGGTCTTGTTGTTTAGACCTTGAAATAAGTGTTGCTTTCTAGACCGAGCCAAACAAATTGCCAGGCATTTATCCGCAAGAAGTCTTGTTCGACATTGTACACTGCACGAATTTCGCAAGAGCAGCATCCCAGCAACAGTTATGCTGGGTGTTGCTAAGTGTCGCTTTTGGTTTGCGAAATTTCGATATGGTGAATTCTTCCTTTCTAATGCCCATTGCCGGAGAACACCAATGTAGCTGCATAGTAGAAGTTTGCGCCTAAACGCTGAGGTGGGTCCTCATCAGAGCAAAAACGAATTCTCAGCATACGTAACCTAATCGTAACCTATTGTTCGGTAGCAGTCTCAACAGTCAGTAATGGCCTGTGGACAAGGAGGCGGGATCCCACGCCAATTGACGATGATGACGAAACCTAACGTTCCAAAATCTGCAGGGCTTCTGTAGGCGGGCAGAAGAGGGAACCGGTTCCCCATCGACTTGCCATTGGAGATGAAAAGTGTGTTTTTATGTTGGCAATAAGTTCAAACATTGGAGGCGTTCCCAGACCAGACACCATTTTCTACACTGAAATCAAGCCCACATCAATGAAATGGTTGCTGAGTGTTTTCCTAGTGTATGATGAACGTGATTCACTTTAGGCTACCATAACAAGCTCAAACCGTAACTACAGACTTTTCTTTCAACCATTAGAATGTTCGAGCCAAGCCATTACCGTTACCTATGCAGTAATAATTAATAGGTGTTGTTCTGCTACATCATTTGAGGCTTTATTTGGATTAGTCAGATTCTCAAAATTTTTTTTGCATCAAGATGAGCTCCCTCTTATAAGCAGGGCATTGAAAACTTACAGTGAGCGACTAATCTCATAAAATGTTGGCTAAAATTCTTAAATGCGTTTTCGATTATGAAGGATCACTTACGCACGTTTGTAAGACGGATTATCTTGCAGCATACTCCAGTAATACTTCGGACTTGGCAGAATGTGAGCTTTTGAATACACTGCTGTTCAATCTCATGTAGAAACCGCATTCATCAAAAAATGACTACTTACAGTGCGTGACCGACCTCATGAAATGTTGGTCGAGATTCTGAAATGCGTTTTCGATTAGGAAGGGCCACTTAGGCTGGGTTGTAATCTTCATCATCATGCAGCATAGTCCTATAGTATTTCGGACTTGCCAGAATGTCGGCTTTTGAATGCATTTCTTCTTGGTCTCCTCCGGAAACCCCAATCGGCAAAAAGTGACTACTTATTTAGCATGCCATTTTCCTATTGATTTTCGATGGTCTCATACATTCAAATATATTTTACAGAAAACATGCACAAAAGTATGGTTTCTTCTATTCATTTGGTAGAAAATCGCATTATATTCATATTTTGTACCCAAAGAAAGTGTATATTTAGGCTTTGAGAAAGTTTCCGAATTCCAGAATAATTTTGAGCATGATCTGCCATTGCATTAGCGTTTAGCGATCTCTGCCATATCAAGTTCATTAACTTTTGCAATGGGTTCGGACTGTGTTGTACATTCCGTGCAGAGCATTAGTAAACGGACATGTGAGGGCTTGCATGCATGGACATTGACAGGGTCTTAAAAACCTCATGATAAGAAACGTGTTTAAGCCTAAATACACACTTTCTTCGGGTATAAAATATGAATATAAAACGATTTTCCACCAAATAAGTAGAAAAAAGCATACATTTGTGCATAGTTTCTTTAAAATATATTTGAATTTACATGAGCATTGAAAAGCAATAGGAAAAAGGCATGCCACTTAAGTAGTCACTTTTGCCGCAGGAGACAAAGAAGAAGTGCATTCAAAAGCCGAAATCCCTGCGAGTCCGAAAAGATTAAAGGTTATGCTGCATGATAAGCGGTATAATAGGCCTACTTAAGTAAGCTTTCTTAATCGAAAACGCATTCCAGAATCTCGATCAATATTTCATGAGATCGGTCACGCGCTGTATTTAGCGTTCATTTCCCACAGATTTTCGATGGTCTTGCAAATTCAATTACATCTTATAGAAACTATAAAGGAAAATGTTTTTCAATCGCTTGATACAGAATTACGTCATATTAATAATTTATACTAGAAAAAGGAGTACAATTAGGTTTTGAAAAAGTTTCTAATTATGAGATTTTTTGTGACCGCGCAATCTTCATTCACACATCATCGTACCTGACCGCTTACCATTGCTCCTGATGAAATGAACAACATGGTCCGCATCCAATGCAAAATTTTACGGACTCTGTATAATGTCTTTTTAGGGGCATAGAAGAATATGAGATTTTGCTTACGCGGAACGCTTGCACCTTATAGACTGAAATCACTAAGCGCTAATGCACCGAATAAACAGGCTCCAAATTATTCGGCATTCAGAAAACTTTTTCAAAACTTAATTATATTCAATCTTCGAGCATAAAATATTACTATGACGTAATTCTCTATCAAACGATTGAAAAAAATCATTTTCGTTTATAGTTTCTATAAGATATAATTGAATTTTCAAGACCATCGAATATCAGTGGAGAAATGCATGCTACATGAGTAGTCATTTTGTACCGAGTGCGCTCTCTACAGGAGATTGAACAGCAGTGTATTCAAAAGCTGACATCCTGCTAAGTCCGAAATGTTATGGGACTATGACGCAAGGTAATACGTATTACAACTGCGCCTAATTAGTCTTTCTTAATCGAAAACGCATTTCATGGTTTCAGCCCGAATTTCATGAGATCTCACTATAGTTCTAAGAGGTAATAAGCTGCACAAGCTTCAGTTACTTATGCCTCCTTTTTTCTGTCCGACTTTTTCCAGTAATCTGGCTAGCAGAGCCAGTCCAGTTTTTGCCGGACCGGACTTTCTGCTTAATTAGGACCGTAAAAGATACTTAAGTGCCATTACGGAAGCAGGCGTTTTACTACAATAAGAAGCGTGATTTACCTTCAGTTTGTTTCCCATAAGAGAGCATATGCTGAACTGTGGTGAATAATGCAAGGCTTATATTTACCATCAACAACAAAAGCCAAACCTCTTGATAGTTTCTTTAGGATTGGAAAATGTGCCCTTCGGAAGTTTGCGTATATACTATATGACAAATATTGTTAGACAGTGGTACTCCGGACACATGACAGTTCGTCCGTTGTTGCCGACGATGTCCACTGTCTGCTGAATAGCAAGATGAAGCAGACGCGGTGACTTACGCATTAGTTTACAGCAAAAGTGGGCTTGCGCAGCGTCTACCGCACCCTCTCCTCCCTCACTTGGCTCTGTTGTCAGGTCATAGTCTAGGAGATTGGAGGCGAGAGAGGCCACAGGTGGTTGATACGGCCGAACCCCCCCCCCCCCTTGGCGTACCACCACAGCCCCAGTCCACAACATGGTCCATAATCCGAAAGAAATGCAATCTGATATAAGCGAATTAAGTACTGCGCACAGCTAGCAGCGTACTTCCGGTTGTCTTCGAAGCAAGACGGATACAACGCAAGTCCGTTTTATCTTAAACAAACGTAAGGACGAGCCACCATAGGGTTTTCAGTCCCTACGACACAAATACCTCTTTAGATTTAAGATCGTTTGAGATTGCAGTTGAACAAAAGTAGTGGGCGCTAAATTCATTTCAGTAAAAGTTTAGAGATTCCATTGCATTAACTATGCAATACAGAAAAATACTTCCATGTAATTATTTCAGGCTATTCAACATGCTGATTAATTAGCATTAGCGACAGGTAGTATTCTGTAAAAATTGAATGGCGCAGAATATGAGCATATGCGCCATTTGTGTTGTATGTGGCCTTGCGCTATATTCCAGAGGGAATAAGGGTTTGAGTTAAGTTGAGATTATGGGTTATGAGTAGGATTAAATGTAGGACATATACATAGGTAGAAGTTCGTGGCAAGACCATCGGCAGGACGGGAGCGCTACTTATTCTTGTGTCTATCCGTGAATCGAAATTAAATTTATAAACTGAACAGGAAAGACCCCCTGCTCTTCCAAATATCTACAGCTACGCCTTTAAGATCTCTTTATTTTGACTACGAGAATTGCTACACAATTTTAAATTTTGTCCAAGATCTCTTTAGCCTACACAATTTTCAGGAGAGCAGTGTATCCCCGTGAAATTCAGTGGGGAGCATCATCTTACCACCTAAACAGAATTCTCAGGTTTTCTTTGAAACCCCCAATCACCTTCGACCGAATGGCTTACCTGCATTAAAATGGCAATATCCTCCCGTGCCGTCAGTAGCTCATCCAAATTCACTGTTCCTAAAACATTTCTCAGAGTAGTCTGACCCAGCAGACGTGTAGACCGATTTGCGTCCTCTACATTCACCACAGCGCAGACCGGATTGCGGATACGATAGTAGACGACAGCGTTGACAGCCACGGTGAGGGAGTCCTTTGTGAGGACCTCCTGCGTGGGCACGTTGAAGGTGAAGGTGCGGAGGTCCACGACTCGACAGTTGTCTAGGCAGGGCAGTAGAAATATCAGTCCCGGCCCTTGGGCATTTGAGGAGAAGAGGCGGCCGAGTCGAAAGACAACTGCGCGCTCATAGTGTGCCACCACCTTGAAGGGAAAAATATAGAACTCTCTGTAACTCTCTCCCACTCTCTCAATATGAGATAGGTAGTCAGACCTAATTATGTTAGGCCGAAGAGTAGTTTTTCTAGCCTGGCATGATAATGACCGAAGTTTCTGGCTAACGCGGCCTCTATAAAACGCTAATCAGGAAGAACAAGGCATGAAAGACGTTGGATCGTCGGCCAGGTTGTACACTCTGTCGAGGGGCTCTAGACGTGAATTCTGCCAAAACAGACGTCTGTCGTGCTTCTGCGCTCCCAGAAAGATCTTTTATGAGAGGTCATTTGGTGGAAGAAAACGGCAAACGCATATTCCAGTCAGGTCAAGTTGCTAATCAATAGGTCCTCACAATTATACATTCTCGAGTACTCAGTCAAAGGAGTGTGGACAAACTGAATGCGAACTTAGTCGGCAGACCTCATTTACAAGGCGCTGATACAGGACTGACGAGTCTGTAAGTCTCTCCCTCTCGACATGAGATGGGTAACCCGATAGGTACAGGCCCTATTACAGTGCATGACCGATCTCATGAAATGTTGGCCGAAATTCTGAAGTACGTTTTTGAAAGGGAAGAATTAATGAGGTAGCAGTGCAATATTACTTATTATGTAGCATAATCCTGTAGTATTTCGAACTGGCCAGGAGCTCGGCCTATAAATGCACTTCTTTTTGACCTCCAGCTAGAAACCGTACTTGGTAACTATGACTACTTAATTGGCAATCATGTTTCGCACCGATTTTCGATGGTCATTTGTATTCAACTAAAGTTTATAGAAAACATGCACGAAAATGCGGTTTCTTTTACTTGTTTCGTAGAAAACCACATTGTTTTATGTTTTATACCCTAAGGGAGGTTATCTTTTGGTTTTAAATGTTTCTACTTATGAGACCGCGCAATGTCCATAAATACAGCATCACACGTGTCCGTTTACCAACGTTTCTCGTATCCATTGCGAAATTTCATGTACTCTATATAGTATCTTCTGAAAGGCATAGGGGAAGATATTATTTTTCTTACGCAGAACGTATGCAGCTTGTAGACTAAAATCGCCAAACGCAAAGGCAACGGCTGATCAGGCCTAAAATTAATCGGGAACTGAGGAAACTCTTTTAAAACCTAAATATTCATTTTTTTGGGTATGAAATGTGAAGCAAGTGTGATTTTCTACCAGATAGGCAAAAGAAACCGCATTTTCGTGCATGTTTTCTGCAAAATGTATTTGATTACATATGACCATCCAAGATCAATGAGAAAAGTGAATGCTTATAGAGTAGTCATTTTTTGCCGCGTACGGTTTCTGCAGGAGGTCAAAAGGAATTGCATCCACAAATCGACATCCTGGCCAGTTTAAAATACCATGGGATTATGCTGCGTGATAATTAATATTACAACTTCACCATGCTTGTCGAAAACGCATTTCAGAATTTCGGTCAACGTTTCATGAAATCGATTACGCACTGTATGTTAGGCTTAAGAGTGGTTTTCCTAGACTGGCATTGTAAGGACCAGAATTTCTAACCGACACAACTTTTATAAACCGTTAGTCGGGAAGAATATGCACATAAAAACCTGAAATTATCTTCAAATCGGAATTAATGAGGTTGAATCTCGGCCAGGTTTTGCACTCTATCAATGAACTTTGGACTCGAATTCTGCCAAAACGAACTCTGGAGGTCTGTCGTACTTCTACACCTCCAGAAAGATCCCTTACGAGAGGTCATTTGGTGGAATCAAACGGAAAACGCCCATTACAGTCAGGTCAGTTTGATAACCAATAGGTTCCACCAATTATACATTCTCTAATACTCAGTCAAATGAGTGTGGACAAACTAAATACGAATGTAGTCGGCAGACTTCATTTCCAAGCCGCTGATATGGGACTGGCGAGAGGATATGGACAAGTTGAAGCTAGTTAGACCGGTCTCGCCGACAGCTTTGGTAACTCCTACTTTATACATTTTCGTATTACCACCGAACACTCCTTAACGGTTTTTGTCTGCAGTTTGTACCCACAGAAACGTAAATATTCAATTCAAAAATTTGTTCAGTTTTTGCTGCAGAGTCAATTTCTATAATAACCTTCACCCACTTACAAAAGGGTAACCAAAGTCTGCTGGGTCTGACCGCCAGAAGTACTTGCAATTAAACGTGTCTGAAAACGTATTTTGTGTCTTTTATACTCTGTTTTGTTAGGGAACATTCATAAACAACATTTGGAGCAATTGCGAAAGCACTGCATTAAATACTAAACGAAGAAACGAATCTAAAACCACACGTCATAAAACGTAATGTAATGGCTAGAATTTTTCTTTTGGCTAGAAAACGTACGTCCTGGACGTTTGACTGCGTTTAAGCATTATTAAAGTATGCGCTCCTTAAAGTGATCAAATGCTTATATTGTTAGGGCGATCAAGGTAAATGCAGTTAGCGCGACAAAAGCTATCATGCAGGCTCGCCCATGATTGCTAACTTGCGTTCTTTATCGAAAAACAGTATAATTACACGAACGCAGTAGAAATCAAGCTGTAAATCTGTCACCTGGCTTATGTTTTAGATACTCTTAACGTATGGGTTCGGTAACTTCCGGAAGTTCTTATATGTTTTTTTCGACATTTCATAGTTGGTTTTCGTTCGGTCTGGAGTCCAAGTGATTGTCAAAAGCTATAGAAACACAACATCGATGTTTGTGGGAATTCATTTCTATGGGAACATACCCCTCTACAGAACGCCTTTCATGCACAAAATGTTGCCGTATGGTGGAAAAACAATGGCCACAAAATCAGAGCATAAAACCTTGATTTTTATTTGGTTATTTAACTGGACTACAACCCATATTTATCACTAAAGATTAAAATAAAGGGAAACTACTTTTACTGATTATTTTGTTCGATTCACTGTTGTATTTATATTTTATGAGTGATAGATTGAAAAGACAATTCTTTGCATAGCATATATGCGCAGGATTGTATATTTATGATGTGGATGAGTAAGTATTTTAAGCAAACAAGCAGTCAAAGATTAAGCGTTTTGAAAGTACAAAAATTTTGATTCATCACGCTAGGTCACTTAGAGGCCGTCTGCAGCAAGTTTCAAAATTTTTCTTCCAAGGAACGCAAATTCCTATTCTCATACAGTGACCCACCCATTTCTCAAAAACCGATATTTAACAGACATCGAAAGTACGCAAGGTGACGTTACACAATGCACAAAACATTCCCAATAACTTGAAAGCGACTCGAATGCGTCCATCAAATCCCCAATTTACACTAGAGAATCTCCTGATAAATGCAAACGCAAAATTTCTGCCAGCAATATTGCTTAGGTTAGCAGCAAACAATTTCCTAAGGGCATCATATCAAACATACAAGACTCGCCAGTATAATATTCTGTGTAACCGCTTTTAAAAAATTAATGCTTTATACCGTACGGCAGTTAGTCAACAACTTGTTGGTTGACTTTGTTTCGCAATGAAATTACGAAAATTCAATAAACGAAATTCCTTTCGTCATTCCCTTAGATGCGCTTGATTACGCCGAAAAGGTTTTAGTCTGATTTAACGCGCGGTGACGTCATTAAAATAACCACCTTCATGTAGTGTGATTAAATAATTGTAGTCACAAGCAAAACTTTTGTGTTAAGCGAGTTTTTCTTTCGACGTTAAACCCTTAAAAAGCACAAATTCGACCTTGCGTGATTACCAAATCCCCCAAAATATAACAGTTCTTGCGAGCTGTTACCCGTTAGAAGATGTTGCATGAGAATGACTGTTTGGGTAATCTTTGCGGAATCTCTCAATCACGTAACAAAATCACCATAGACGGAAAGGAGTATGATAAACGCCCTTTTGGTTTGATGAAAAGAACTATCGATAACGTGTTGTTGAGCGGACTTCGTTTGGGCACTTCGTCGAGGAGTGTCAATGTCTTTCCGTCTATCTAGTGTAAAGACAAGGAATAAAATTGAACATCTTGGTCGCCAATGCACTTTCCTGATAGATTCTAATATCCTTCTGTCGCAGACGAACAACTACCTCTGCCTTTTTACGGGAACTATTTTCACTGTCGCGGCTTATTTTAAGACTCCGTTTGACGAAGATAAATGCAGTCTGGATCGCAGTTTAATTACTGCGAGAGTTCTCAACCGGCTAAAATGATGCATCGCCCATTCCTAACTTACCCATTAGCAGAACCTGGACTTCATTAAATAACCGAACCGAAATTTTAAACGGCCTTTTGATAGTGGGCCTTTTGTGATCACTTAGGAAATATCTTCAGACTCCAGAAATTTACGCATGTGTTAAAAGAAACGACTGTCTGAGGACGATACCGTCTGCCTTTTACGATATTAAATAACACCGATTTACAAGACTCCACTTTGCCTTCTGCCCATTCCACATGCAGTCTCGCCTGATTTATGAGAGCTAAAAAAGTTGGATTATTTTAGCAAATCCTTTTATCTTTATTCATTATTCCCTACGACAGAAGAAAGCGCAAATGTGTAAAGGCGGCCTACAGCAAATATCCTGAATTCGAAGCCCCGTTTGTTTGCACTTAAAGCACATTTATTAGAAAATGTATTAAGTCATTATGCATGAAAAAAGACGTTTTCCGGGATAAGTTAAGCTGAAGAGTAAACCTCGTGAAGTTTCAAGTAGCCATTTGCATTTCTGATAGTCACGTTCCATTAGTCACGTCGGCTATGTCCTAAGGGGTCATCGTACTGACCATGGCTTTTTCCTTTTTTTGAAAAACCAGTCCTTTTTAATTTTACTTACTAAAAGGGTAAATCTAATGTACGGACTACCCAATACATTCCGTGGGATTCAGATACTGCGGTGTGGCAGAAGCGTTCACGTGATGCACATATTGTAATTGCGAAAGTGGACAAAAATGGCGTACCTTACTGATGCGTCGGCAAGTTGTAAAAAAAGTCTAATTAACTGCCCCTCAGAGATGCTAATAGCAACTTTTGTGGCCTGCTATCCAACAATCTTCCGAACTTAGTTAATCGAAAATGTTGTTTTAATATGTACATGCTGCTGCTGCTGCTGAAAGTGATGATTGTGTTGATGACTCTCGTGAACGACGGCATCTGATATGTGACTCAGGGCATTGCGGACGCAATACCTGCTCGTGATGATAGACTGACACAGCATCTGCTCTCTTCTCACCCCCTCACTCACCTGAGCTCGACGGTAAGAGTTGGCCGGGTTCACCGAAGGTGCGTTCGGGTGCAAGATCGGCTGCCCAAGGTCTACAGTCAGTCTACGCGAGCCATATACGACCTGAAAGTCCACGCTCTAGTCTCCTCGGAACTTAGCCGGGCAGTGTGGAAATTGGAGTTAATACACCAAAGGGTATATAGGGAACGCTGGGCCGTCCATCGACTAACCGAATCCCCCACCACTGCGTAATGCAGCGACATAAGATCGGCGAATAACGCGTGTCAGCGCTTTTAGCTAGTATCTGTCCTCTCAAGATGCTGAACAATGTAGTATTTTTATACTACTCACTGACTGTCGGCAGTTTGTGAATATTATCCTGTTAGAACGCAACAGCTGACAAACTTCATATATAAACTTTTAAAGCGAGCCGAAAAGCTTGGCTTTGAAGGGTTTACTCCACGCTTATGTCTTAGCGACCTCGCAAACTAAATAGGGCAAACACCACCAAAGAAACATCAACCGGGTTGGCTGCATTATTTTTCCAACTTTCCGCTTCTCAAATCTGCATTCACATAATTATCCGTCCCATTTGGTGGAGATCGGTAAGCCGAAAAAGTCAGAAAATCTGCTTACCGAGAAGTGCTTGTTTTTAATGCGTGTCGCATTTGTCAAATGTAAAGGGAGTGAAAATTTTGAAGTAGTAGAAAGTAGTTCCTCCGTCAAAGGACTTCATCACAACATATTAACTAGCAAAGACTAGATGCTGATGCAAGATCGTGACAAGTGATCAGCAACAACAGTGTTTTTGTCTCTGTCTTTCCAAAAAATCCCTTTTTGGCTGTAAGGAAATGCATTTTATTCTTGCGCGGCCTAATTGCATCGGTTCGTTGCTCCCCACAGGTGCGCAAGAAATATCTTTCGGCCGATAAATAGTTGTAGTCTGTCTGCTCAAAGACAAAATATCTCCGCTTCACTAATCTTCCAGCTTTGTCGGTTTAGTTGAAATTTCATTAATATTAAAATAAAAAATTGAAGGCCGAAGCACCAAAAGTCTGGCCTTCATTTGCTAATTCAAATCAAGCGCTATGGTAGCGAGGGCTGAGCGTCAGTCTGATACCCATCTGCTGTTTACTTAACACCCCCCTCCATCCCCAGAGTATCGACTGTCATCAGTCAAACGGCCATGAACAAACACTACTTTTGGTGGACTCCGCTGTGTCCCGCATCACGCAATGAGGCGAAAAGGGAGAGGGTTGGGCGTGATTTTGATCGCCTCATTTCGTGGGAGGGGGGGGGGGGGCGCTAGGTTCAGTCCTCTCCAAGGCGGCTGTATAATTCTCACAACGTCTCGGCAAGGACTGAGATGTGCCACCCCGACGGCAGATTTCATATCACTGACTTGACTGCATAACCGCTTCGGGTGGGCGGGATTCAGTGACTGCTCAGAACTCTTCCTCTTCCCCGTAAGATATGGTTATGTTACCCCCACCTAATGGAGACAATACTGTTGAGATTGGGGTTAGGGTAAGGGGGTTAGGGTTGGGCTTTGTGATTAGGGGTTAAAGCCAGGGGTTAGCGTTAGAGTTAGGGTTAGGGCAACATTTTCTCAACCACTCAAAGTACAACCGCGCTTTTCCAATAGCTTTTATTTTGCATAAAAGTACTTGACCTCGTCGCCTGTGCGTCCCCCAGTCCCACCAGCAAAAACCCTTTTTACCACCGGTCCCATATTACAGGTGGCTGGAGTTTGCTAACTTGAAGTGCGGCTACATGACCACATCGGGCCCTCTACCCTCCCCCAAAACGCGTATTTTCCCGTTAGAAATCACGCATTGGAATAGTCAGTCAAGTAGACCAGAAATGGCCGTTTCTCTCACCTGGCAATCCACTGCCGGTAATATTTATCGACCATCTGTCGCCAGGCTACCGGCGCCCGCGATTTCCGGCTCGGAGTTCAATATGCAAATTTCTACCAGCAAAGAGGACACAGGAAGTTGAAAGCCAATCTCGCTTGGCTGCCTGCTTTCGATGAACGTCGGTGGAGTGTGGGTCTGCGACTGAGTGTCTGATCCGGGTTAAAATTTCAGGTTAGTCCGCGCCTGGTCACATCAGTCGGTAGCACTGTGTCATCTCAATAGTAATGAAAATGCGATTTTCAGACGGAATATCAAAAGAAAAGGACGCATTCACCGGGGGAGGTTTATTTTAAGGTCTAACATTTCGAGCGGTCGTTTCGTCTATCCATCTTCAGAGACTGGGGAGTCATGCGCACAGCCCTCCTTATATGGCGCACCTTGTTTGATGCGTGACCCACCAATGCGGCCTGTGTGGCTGCCTCCAACCCGCATGTCACCGTGACCCGAATCGCCCCGCCCTCGTCGGCCGCGGAGATAGTTGACGGCCCTGATTGTCCCGCGCCGTGTCTGCCCCCCGTTAAGGAGGTTCGTAAGGTCACATGGGTGGAGGCAAATAGATGTGGCGGTTGACAGAGCACTCGGTGGACGTCCAGGCTTCACGCCCAGGCCCACAATCTCAACTGCCTCGAAGTTGAAGATGTGTCCCATTTGCACGGAATAGGTTGCTATCTCCGACTTTGAGTCCAATATTCGCACGGCCAACTTATGCCCGTGCATTCGCGTTTTCAGCCTTCGGTTGGTTTCCCCAACGTAGTTGCACTTCCCACAGCTGCATTGAAGTTTGCAGGCAATAGCCGACACCTCCTGCTTAGGGATGGGGTCTTTTGGCCGCGTCACTTGCCGGCGGATTGTTGAGTCGGGCTTGCAGGCAACGCCTATTCCGAGTGGCTCGAGAGATCTAACCACGGCTGCTAAGACCCCTTTTATGTGTGGAATGCTCCGTCACGAGTTTGGCTGACTAGGCTCTTCATTCCGCTTCATTGGTAGTTTTCGACTTCGTTCAACAAATGCTCGCGGATAGTCTTTGGCTCTGAAGAGTTCTTGAAGGAACTTTACCTCGACCAGTTTGCTCGAAACTTCAGACCTGCAATTGACCTTTCCCGGCGAACGCCTACATTTCTTTTGACAGTTATGACAGTGGGCGCTTACCGATCAGGTTACGAACATGCACGTTCCGTTTTGTCTTTGGGCTCATACTAAAACCCTCGCCGGCAGTCGCACAGCGACTAGTAGTGGATGTAAATCAGGTGGTACCGACAATGACAAGAAGAGTGGCAAACTCCATGACCAAAGATCCCGGGTTAGAATCGCAAGTGATCCACACTTAGGGTTGGGTATGACTGGCGGATGACGGGTAATAAGCCAGAAATAGCCACTCCGGTCGCCCTTGTCTTTGTCGGTACCACCAAATTTACATTTGACAGTCTCCAGGGGCGGTGTTTACCGAACCAAACATTGCAAGCTCGTATGCCTCATACCACGTCTTTTAGGAACAATTAGGTGCCTGCCCGATTTGCTCGTTTAGTTAAGTATTTGTCCGGATGCTTTTCGCGTCACCGAAATTAACGGTCCCCTTACGAACTATTTTTTACTCAGAATACTATTTAAACATTATTTTCTCTGAATTAATTTGAACGTGGCAAAGCCAACAAATATGCCGAATTTAACGATGTCCCGATTGTTCGTGACTTATTATTCACCTTTTACGATTATTGTATATTAATAAGACCATCTGTTTAATGAGCAAACAAACAAAAAATGAGAAAATTGTCCCTAAATGCGGGTAAAAATTGTGTAGGCAAGAAACAAAGTTGTATAGATGAGCATTGCATAACGCAGCATGGGGAATGCTGCAAAATGCATTAGATGGATTTAGAGCGACGAGTCTAAAGCGAACTCATTTCGGAATTAATCTAAAATAATTTTATTCTCGAACAAGTATACCCCTGCACAGGATTCGGCTGTTCGACGACAATATCTTGATGTCGATTTACTGAAAAAAGACTGTCGGCAAGGGTACGGTCAATACTCGGGTTAATTACCCCGGAGAGCATTTGTGTTGAGTGGACGAATCGGACGCCTAAGAACTTTGTGGTATCACATATGCTGATTATCCATATTGTCACCCATTAAAAGGGGACACTATTTTTTACCATTTAAAAGTAAACGAGTTAGAGGCGCCTTTGCAGACAGTGTCTAAAAGGTATTGCATTGTCGTATTTGCACTCCGATGACTACTTTAAAGCGTCTTGATCACCACCACGCAACAGATACCCTGCGGTTCTTTTATTTCTTTCTCAAATGCGTAGAGAATAAATATCGCCAGTTAGTTTCTATTTAGCGCAATTGCCTCCCGGAGTAGGTAACCACGTCCATAAACCATATCCTTACCAGACTGACATCTTAGATCCTAGAGGTCTAATAATTCTGTCTGGTTCCCCATACTGCCGGTGAAATAGCAGCTATAAGCACGCACACACGCTTGTTTCGTTGATACTTGGCCATTGAATGACGCAGCATCGAGGCGTTCGACTCCCCATAGACTTCCCGACCTATGTTTCCGCTTCCAAATTTTAGTTGTTAAATCTCCTCGGAGAATAATTCACTTAATAGGAGCAAACCCTTCAAGATGGCTTTCGAACCGAGCCTGTAAAGGTTGGCCTGAAACTATTCGCTCTAAATTGTCGAATTAACTTCTGAGGAAATTAAAATGTTCAAATCTTAGAGGTTTTGGCGGATAGCCACTGTGATACTATTTTAGTTGAGCTGACAACGCTTGCCTCCGTTACATGAGCATAAAAATAGTGTCAGGTTGCAAACCACCGACTCGACAAACCACATCAAACGCATGTGTCGGTGTTTGTCGAGAGGCTTTTTTGCACTCCAAGGGGGGAGGTCGGCTATCGAGATTTACAGACCACCGGAAAATTTATGATCCGCACAAAATGCTGCTCATATTTTTATTGGGTGGTTTCTATTTTACAGATGGCCTGTTGAACCGTGTACTGCCATCAAGCACAAATTGCCCAAATTCAAAAATTAAGCTATGCTCAGCACTACTCTGGCCATGTGGTTGACGTTCTCAGAAGTGGAGCGATCATGGGATGTCAGTCGACTGAAACATTCCGTAAAATAAAACTCGTGGACTCACAGGCGGAAGATTTAGAGGCTTTCTAGCACAATCTTAAAAGGGATTTTAAGCAATGACTGCATTTGCGGAGAAGTGGGCGGCTAGCTACATTATTCTAATGTTGCCGTTACGAGGTCTGCGTAGGTTGCAGCTATCAAAGGTCTGTTTACCTGCACTTGCTTTTCTTCCCAGGTAGCGTTACCAAAAGGGAAAACGGTGATACTGGTGATAATGTTATGTTCAGGTTGTGTTTCACGGCCGACGCGACCGTCATCGGGTCGGAAGTCAAAGCCGGCAAAACAGACCGCTTCGGCCGTCTACGGCGGTCCGTGCACTCGACATCATGGCCCGCGGGAATAACAGGTGAGGGAGGTGTGGCTGTCTGACGCACACTAGATCATTCATCACACCCTAGGCTTATATGACCTTAGGAACAGGTTTTAGGCAGAAAACCCAGGAGGGGAGGGACGAGACGCGTAAGGGTGACTGGCTCTTACGACCCCCCCCCCTAGGCTCAAGCGCCGACTGACGTGAGCGGATGGACGCCAGCTGACGCAGACAGCAGCGACTAACCCCCCCCCCTCCGCCAGCCATGGACGTGGATATCGTCCGTGTAGCGCCTTCGCGGAGTTCCCTGCGTCCCAAGACTACCGCCTCCCCCGCCCCGCCTAACTCGACAAGCTTCCACACCCCTATCTAAGTTCTGAAAATGACCAGCCCGCCGAACCGGAACATCATAGATTACCAGTTCCCTTCCCCGGGTCAATCCTCTCACCTCATTTGAACATCAAGGTAAGGCCGTGTGGAGGAAAGGTTAACCACAGGGCATAAATCGTCTAATGGTTGAACTAGAGGATAATCTGAACGCAACATCGACATTGGTTCGCAACAGTACGCAGCTTTCTTGTTTCCGTCCATAAAACAACGTTCCCGTGGTTAATTCGTTCCGGTCAATGGACCCGAGCTTCCTCCCAAGCCCAAGTGACGGCTGTGGAGTCCATCCCCTTCAGTGCGTCTGCCTCTGTTCTTCAACTTGCCCTTCATTTCGTCCGCATGGGCGTTCGTTGTCTTCGGGTCGATTTATCCTCAGAACCTACGGGCGTTCACAGGCAGTTTCGTCTGGGGCTTGATCAAAAGCCCTTGCAGGCAGCGTCATGGCAGGTCATTGTCTCAATGCCAGAGCTTTGGATATAATGTTCAATGAATCTACACTCATGGAATCCCAGTTAGAATCCAGCGTCGCACGAACTTGAAACTAGGTATAGCTGGGAGACTAAGGCTATGAAGTCAGAAATGACCGTCTCAGTCCCCCTTATCTGCTTATATTACCACTCGTAATGCCAGCAGTCTCGCAACGATAAGAAAAATAGGCAGAATAACATTACTGACAAAAAATAGGTCGATTGGAGTGGCCCGTGATGGCTTGGCCGTCATCAGGCATCAAAATCCAGGTTCCGCCCGTAGATATGACCTTATGCTATGTTCTGCTCATGTATGACATAGGGAAGGACCGTTCCAGCCCGCGTTAAATAACTGTTCTTTTCCGATTTGATGAAATGAGAATAACTCCATTAATCAATGAGACGTATTTAAATCATCTGTAAAACATGATCAGTCCGTGACGAGTTACTTATGTTGCCTCGAGTGCAGTATAAGTACTTCGCATTGAACTGAATAGCCGGGAAAATGTCGTCGCTTAATCTCCTTTCCCGAATCTCTAAATGTTCGTTCGTAGCAACTCAAACTAATACTCGAAACCTACTCGATGGATCCTCCGCGAGTCTAACAATGGAAACCGGTGACACGTCAACTTCACTCGATAGTCTGCTCAGGATATCGGCAGCGATAGTTCAGAAATCTAGTTTCTGACAATGGAATGATAAGAAGTTTGAAAAAAAAACATATATGCCAGGAAGACAATCAGCCTACATAAACCGGTAGGAAACGTATTTGTTGCTATTTTCCCCTAGAATCGAACCCTCGCAATAGTAGCCGTGCGTAAAGGTAGGTCTGATTTATTAAAAAGTCCTCGTTTTACCGAGAGTCTTTTCTAAACGAAATTTTGTGCATGGTTTCCGCGCCACTACAGCGCGCCTGCACATTAATCATAAACGCCAATTTTAAAGTCAATTTGGCTCGAACGCCTACGTAGCCAAGCTGCGTGAGCTCGCTAAGCGCAGTCCAGGAAAGTCCTTTGATGCCTCGGTTTGACTCCTAGAGGCATGCATTGACATTGGTGGAGAGTACGCAAAGCGAGTGAAGATAAATAAGAGCGGAATTTCCAATTTCCCATTTTTTTAAACATGTTCACTCGCATGAATTACTTCTTCGACAAATTAAACCGTATACTGCGTCACCCTCCGAGAATACATCCCAAACACATCTAACTTATACAAAACGAGCAAAGACAACAATTTCTGCCTGTACCTAACGTAATATCCTTGGGTTAGCTGGAGATGAATTTCCTTTGTGAAAGCATTATCTCCAGAAATTTTCTCGAAAGGACGTTGAAGATGTGAGCCCTGATCCATGCAGATGTGTTTCATGTGAACATGGCTGACCGAGATCATCATCCGTCATCACTGGTCACGAGCTTACGTGAGCTTCCACAATTGACCACAATAGACTGTGTCGCAATTAATGCATGAGTTTCCGTAGACGATGCCCCTTCCACAAAAACAGTCAACCCTCTTCTTGGGGGTACATATTGGATACAACAAGTTGTTGTAAGTGCGCGCACCACCTGTATCTGCTGTTTTGTAAACTGCCTTTTGTCAAGATCTGACTCATCATACAAATCATACTTCGTCTGCAAGGCGTGCTGACGACATTCTCTGGCGACAGGTCCGGATCAAAATGATTAGACCGGTTGGGCACAAACGACGGAGCTCGCATCGGCAAGGGCTGCAAACCACTTACAGCGAAAAGTACGAGCGCGAACAGAGAAATTAATGAATGCTGACACCCAGTTATCGGTCCTGAAAATGACCAAAGATAGTTGCGTTCACACCAGCCACCCATTCTCTCACACAACACGGCAAAACAAGAGCAGCCTCTGACACAGCAAAATTTCAGCCTAAATGACCATGAAATACCGTCAGGATATTGAGCTAATGGCATATGAGCTGGTATTTTCTCGGGCGATATATGCAGACATGTAATTATTGTCTGATTTACAATATTCGCAGAAAGACCACTGGCTGCACGTCCGTTACACATCGCACGGGGTGGTATTCCGGTCTATCGCTCAGCGGTTCCGGCAAAACAAGAGTGGATGTCGGAGAAAATTTTCGGCTTGAGCGTCAACGAACTAATTCATACTAGAGACATTCGAAAGGCTGGCTATGTGATTTTTCGGTCAATCTGAAGAAACAGTGGCGGGCATTTGCAGGATGTTGTTGTTTCCCTTAAGAAACTTTTTGATGTTTAAATATATATATATGTGTGTACGGAAAGATGGGCACCGAAGAAATCCAGTTTTAAAGAAACAAATGCCTTTGTAAGGACATCGTTTTGCGCATTTTCGACCCCAGTTCCCTAGCTCGTCGTCAGACGAATAGGCAATGTACAAGGACAGTCAACTGTTAAACGTGCCTAGTAAAAGATGCTACGGTTGGCTACATTTTATACCTATATGCGTCCACCGCTTTCAATTAAATCCCAAAATGCACGTCTATCATTCCTTAATAATAATTTGTGGCCATTTTGGGAATGATGTCAAACAATAAGTTTCTCTGCAGAATTCTACTAGGCAAAAGACTAAAGTGTTTTGGAAATAGAATTTAAAAGTGTGTTATTATGCAGTTATTTAACATGCGGTTTTTTGGGGTATGAATAAACGAACGCAATACTTTTAATAAAATGTATCGGTATAAACCAAAATATTCCTCATTATGATGCTGTTAAACTGGTTTTTCCATTCACAGGTAGAAATCTGCAGTTACGATGGACACCGAAATCGTGAAACGATGACTACGATTATCGCTTTTCAAAATTTTACCCGGCAGGAGTTATGATGCTGGCTCCCATGTAGCATAAAAATACTGCGGGCCATTTATGTTTGGTTATTTTCCACTGAATATCGGTGCTGTTTTGCGATCACAAAAGAATCACAAAAGAATCACATTTTAACGTGTTATTCGTGAAGCCTGGTGTTAGTGTGTTTTGTTTGTGCCCGTGATGTTTAACTCCACTAAAAAAGCCTGCAAAAGTTAAACACATGTATTTGTTTCCTTTCGAGTGCATGCCGATCATGTTATCGGGAAGGCATACGTAAAATTGCGAACCCAGGTTGTGCTGTACTTTGTGAAAAAACCGGTAACCCATTCTTAAAACGAAGCCAAAACCCCCTCCTACAAGCACATCATTTTTGGAAGACACAATTTAAATAAATGCGCATGGGCAATTTACTTTGTCCGGCGAAAGAAAAGGGAGTGCATGAGAGTTAAACAGGTGACTAGACGTAGACTTACATGGGGGAGGGGGTGGCAAACATCTGAGTGTGAATGAATCGCATTAGATATGTACTGATTGGTAATTCAAACACCTACAGACGATGATTTTAGTTCAAAAACATAAAGTAACTAATTACTCAGACGTTAAAAGAGCATGGACGCATGATACATGCCTTTAAAGCAATTAGCTGGAGGGAAAACATAACTCACCTTAAAACAGAACATGAGTGAGAAGGGCAGGGTAATCACAAAGAAGATCATTGCTAATATCCGCAGTAGGCGTTCCAGAAACCAGACCTCATCCGAGTGAATTGGTTCGATGCGCTTGCCGCCCAGAGTGAAGGCTCGCGGGGTAAAGCTCTTGTGTTTTGCCTTGGCCGCTTTTCGCTCCGCAACCTGCTTCTTCGACTTCCACTCCATTTCCGCCTCCTGCTTGTCCAACAACTCCATCATACTGGCATTCTGGATGCGCCAGGTCTCCGTGAAGGTGTTGCTGTGTGAACGCTTCTTCGACCACCTCCAGTGCATATCGCCGGAGGCCGTCTTGCGATTGAAGGTCGTCGTCGTCGTCGGGGGCACCTGCGGACGATACTCCGAGAGGTTTTGCTCAGGCAACAACCGGCTTAGCGTTGCGCCGGAGTCTGCCCTGTGGTTCAGGCCGACTGAAGCATTTTTTCCACCTGCTGCCACCGCGGCTACGGCAGCAGCGGCAGGTGATGCACGCAGGTTGTGAATTATTGCAAGGGGCGGTTCAGCTGTGCCGAGATTGGGCGCTGGTACGAGCACGGTACCACCTCCGCCGCCGCCGCTGCCGCCGGTGACAGCCGATCGTATGGTCGTGTACACATCCATAACCAGGCAACCCGGACGCCGTGACCAACGGGAGTGCCCGCTGCGACCGGGGAGGGTGCGGCAGGTGTGCTTTTTAGTTAAGCCACGCCTAGTAGTAGCACATACACACGCGCAGGATCGAGAGAGAGACAGCGAGACAGAGAGAAAGGGAGAGAGAGAAAAAGGTGGAGAATTGGGACGTCCTGCTGGGCGTCTTACCTATTCTTTCTTGCCTGATACACTGTGGGCTGCTATTCAGAGCCAGTTACACAACCGGATTTTGAGCGCTGACTTCGGGTAAGAGCGTCCGTCCGCAAGTGCAATTCCCATGCGTAACTGAGGGAAAAAAGCTGTTGTGGCGGGCAGAAGAGGGGTGAAATTTGGTTTTTAAACTGCCTCTCACTTTGCCTGTCTATTCGTGGTGAAATTGTTCAAATACAGACTTCTCCAGCTGGTGGCTTGCACAGGCGCGCGGTATTTGTTTAAACTTCTGGGTGGTCAACGATGATTGGCCAGCAGCTGTGTGGCCAATTGCACAGATCTGTGGTCGGCGAATACTGCTCGCGTCCCTCAGGCGACCAATCGCAGTGGCAGCTCGCATATCATGGCGCATGCGGGGCAAGGTTTGTATCTTAATTGCCCATGTCTTTTGCGAAATTCTTCTGAAGACGCTCCCGGGAAGTTTGCTTGGATAACACGGAAGTGGGAAAGTTTGTCTACAACCAGGTAGTTAGAACTGTTGGGTTGTATTTGCAGAGTTCAAAGTGTCGCGTGTGCACTTCTTTCAAGAGCTAACATGACGGTTATGAGGTTTAGACATTTCTGCACTGACTTCAATGTACAGATATGGAGTTTTTTTAGAATTTATCCAGACAATCCTTTATTGAATATGAAATTAACCGCTAGTACACTTGGCAGTCACCGAGAATGAGTCGATTTCAATCTTGCTCACAGTGAATAAAATGCTTTTTATAGGAATTACAGTCGTTTCGAAACGTGAATTATAAATGTAGACAAGATTATGGATTTCTGTGATGTTATGGTTGGTGGAGTTCGTTTCTTCGTATTAAAACCGATTCTTGTAAGCGTGTAGCCGCCGATGTTTCACAAAAAGCTAAAATCACGGTGTACTGACCACCCGTAATCATAGAGAAAACATAGGGATATTTTGAAAAGCAGATGGAAAGAAAACCGATAGAAACCGCAGACATCACTAGCTATTAAGTGGTTTGTTAAAACCACTATGCCGAATGAGATTCCTGTTATGTAGGGCCTCGTACACAGCAAACTACGGGATACAGGTTAGACAAAGGCGGTATGGAAAGCTAAAAGCACGATGCATTGTTCAACTAGTTGTTCACGAATAGGGAAATCTATTCTTCTACACGCATGGGGAATAAGGGATGCTACCCTTTGGGATGCGAAAATTTCAGAAATTCCCACCCAGGGCATTAGGATGATCCGAGCGATTACCATTGGTGTTTTCAAGGCCAATTACTGACAGATTTAAAAGCAGTCGGGTGTGTGTACGTCAAACGCAATGATCTTTACTGGTGAACGTTGGTTGCCATGCGATATCAGTACGACCCGTGTGCATATTACTGAATACCTCTTATGGAAGGTATGTCCCCAGATTCGTTTATGTAAGGACAGAATATGTATTTTTATTTGAGCCTAAGCATACCATTACATGGGCTTGATTTTGATGCAAATAAACTTTATAGAACACGACTGCATGCTAGCATGTACATATCAATCTACCAAGCGTGGGCAAGGCACTAACCGCATACAAGTACCGGTTTTTCAGCACAAATATGCCAAGCAAGGACGGTCAAAGTCCTGAAGGCGGTCTTTAAGTTAAAACAGTCGTTCTGGGCCAATGAATTCGAAGTCTGTGCCTCGAATTGCACATTAACAAGTTAAACTGACAAACTTGGCGTCACACAAGACTAACACGTACGTTTGACTGAATACACAAAATGTGCTCATGAATTGGAGCCCCGTATATGCGTATTGGTGACGGCATTACGCACATAACGTCCTAAATTGCCGTAGAAGTAAAGCACGGATCGTGGAGAGCAGCGCTGCTAACAACAACATAATGCCTACTTATTGAGTAGGTCGGCACCATTGCATCTGACCTGCTTAAAACGGACCAAAATGGTTATTCATTTGACTGCATGTAGAACAGTAGTAAACGTCCTTCTTAGTAAACTTTGAAACAATTCTCATGGAGCAATTCAGAAGAGCATTTGATGAGCACACACGCGTTTTCAATATATATCCATCAGGCCGGTACAATAATTTTGGAACGAGGTACAAAGTAAATCGTGCGAGGAATAAGTGAGGTCGAGTACGGATCGTCCTTTCCTACGGGCGAGGGGTGTGTATCGAAGGGAGGGAAGAGGAGCAGTAAGTGGCAGTGAGGGGGGGGGTGATGAGAATTTATCGAAAGCAAACGTATGCTCGTCAAGCTCACTAGTAAAACAATTGTCAAAGGAATTAGTCTTTATCTGCGAATTCGCGCAAATTTAGGCGAAGTTTTCTATTTATTGCAAAACGCATTGATCATTAGATTCGATGATCGGGATCTGTTTATTTCCCTGCTGGGACCGCATTCGGATTAGATGACAAGGGGTCTCAACTCGTCGTTAACCTCAACAGACATTTGAACCGAATGACCACAATGACAAAGTATAAAAGCGGCAGCTTTTGTATCGGTCATCCCTGAAAATCTCATAAATGGTGGGTTATATCCGTTTCACCACCGTTTTGGCTCCAATGTTAGTTACCCGATGCAGAACGTTCTTAGCTCAACTGTTGTGAGAGTAGCTTTCGTTTTCTCCAGCGTTATCTGATCACAGCTCAACAGTGCGAAACTTTGACTGGTGGTGACCAAAGGGGCGACCTTATTTGAAACCTAGGTTTTATTTAGTGTTGAACTGATCTCATGGGTCAAAATGCGCAAGACGTAACAACGTGCATAGAAGAGTACAGAAGGTTGGCTCAGATAGTCACCAGTAGAATTGACAAATGGACAAGAATCGTAACCTTCCTGGAATCGCAGCTCATGCTTAGAACAAATCTTACACAGGGATTATTCAATATTTCATTTTGATCCAACTCTTAAATACTCGGCGTCTCGTTGGGATTCCAACCCCCCACAGTAAGGACAAGCTCTAGTAAAATCAACGCTCTAACCACCCGAGCTACGAGGCCCAACCGGACGACGCGCGTCTAATCACATTTAGGTCAAGCTTATCCGCCCAACCTACTGCAACGTGTGGAATCCACCAAATCTGATACAGTAAGTTGACTGTCCAAGGAAAGTGAATTATTTGAAATCTGCTAGGACGTTTATGAATGACATGAGTCTGGTAGTCATTTGGTGGGTTCTATATGTATCATCTAGGAATCCCTGCTTGAGCAGTCAGCTTGCTGCATCAGATTTGGTGGATTTCAGGCGATGCAGTAGGTTTGACGGGTGAACTTGACCCAAATGTGGCTAAAATCACGACTTCCGGTGTGGTCTCGTTTCTTAGGTGTCTACAACGGTAGTCGTACCAAAGCCCTCCCTTTGCTGTCGTGGCTTCGAGTGTCGCCGAGTCACCGTGTTTTTCAAGGTTGGGACAAATTGAATTAAATTAAACCTGCCAAAACACCTCTAAAATATCCAATTTTTTCCTATTCTCTCTGAGAAATAGGACCAGTTTAATGAAGGAACTATTTTAAAACAGATGCATGCTGCCAGTCTGGCCTCCTCCATGCATCCTGCGCGATGGAATAAATAAGGTTTAGTTGTTTGCATCAACACTTTTTGATTCAATTGTTACTACGACCGGTTGAGTGTGTCCTGTCGCTGGCAGATAACCGCGCCCAGGTCAGCCGTAGGATGTTCCGCCGTAGCACAATGTGGACGTGCGTCTCTGTTTTCTGTTCATCCGCTAGGCTGCCCACACCGAGTCGGTCGATGGAACATTCATGGTTAGACCGTACTTTGCAAAACAAACATTGCGACAATGCTACATGTCCCCCCCCCACCCAGTGGGGAAAACTGCTCCCAAGGGCAAAATCCCCGAATAGCAGTCTTGGCGAAAGAAAAATGAAAACAAACAGATTTTGGGCGGTTGTTTTTACCTGAAGTAGGACGCTTTGGAGTAGTCCTACTACGTGGGCTGACTGCAACCAAATCACAAGGCCCTGGTTGCAAGAAAAATAAACAGCATGGCGGTTCTTTGTATTACAGATGCGGCCACATTGTTGGAAGTCAACGACATTCGGCGCGTGAGAAAAGGACAGTATTTAAAGAGAAGTTGGGGAAATTGAGACAGTTACGGGATTTTGGAGAAACATTTATAATAATTTTAACTGGGGAGAGCTGTTGCTGACGATTTTTACCTCTGCATTCTACAGGAAGCGCTTCTTCCCTGATATAACTTAATTTTCTATGAATATTAATTTGACCGGGTTATGTTTACACGCTACCATCTTACCACTACAAGGACAGGGTTGAAAACTGCTTTAAGATTAGCAATTTAAAGCAAGTTTTGTAAGCGCATATTTTCCCCGTATTCTCCGGTGGAACGGCGAAGTCTGCATTATCGGACAGCAAAATGCTGCGGGCGTAGAACAGCAGTAGGTAATTAACCGCATGAACTAGCAACAGAAATGCGTATTCGGCTAGATTATTTCGGTAGGGTTGTAACATCAACTGGCTTTAAACATATTGCTAAGATATTTCATTCAAGCCAAGTGGCCGGCTAGTGAATAAGCTACTTTGCGGCCGCCTGTAAGGCCATATTTGGTTTAAAGTGACTACTAACTAGTCCAAAATTGTCCCCGGTAATTTCCGATGCTCTTACAGATTCCATCATTTGTTATGGAAAGCATACACGAAGATATTATTTCTTGTATCGACTAAGTAGCAAGATGTGTCTTCTTTAAAATTTTATTCGAGGAAAGGGTCTTTCCATCCCGAGTAATTCTGCATCCGACTAGACTGCATAGTGTATACTTTCCAT